GAATATACTTGTGTTGCCCGTGCTTCTCTATTCCTTCGGGGTGAGGTGGAGACGAGAAGGGATGCGAGTTCTAGATGTGAGCACGCTTAAGATCATGCATCTCAATCATATCATATCATCCGATCAGAGAGGAAGAGGACTTCTAAGTCTGAAGTGTCTGCACGATAGGCAGGCGTTGCCTGCAAAATCGCCAATAACGTAGACCCACTTCTGAAACTCGTGAGGGATCATGAAGCTGCCAATCTCGGAGCATTTTTCTTTAAAGCAGCAAGTCAAGCTTCAGACTGCTTAGGTCTCACCTTTCGCATTAGATGTAAATAACCGGCTAATACTTAAATAGCGAAAAGAATAATTTTCAAAGTCTTTTAGATTTCTGTATATGATTGGAAAACCCTGTATATGTAAGTTATGGTTTTGAATGTCCCGCATTTCCTGGTCCACAAATTTTGCCGATAGAGTTAATAGTTTTCGAGAAAATAATTATTTTCTGGAAGTCAAATATACAAAAAAATATATTCAAATTTTTTTTAAAAATACTTTGCGATATTTTTGTAAGTCCTTTTTAAACAGGTGAAATCCGGGCGTAGACTTCTACCCTTTTACCAAATCTGAAATCGCCTGGTAATTTTTGAATATAGTACTCAATATTTTGAACACCCTGTATAACAGGTGAAAACTTTAAATACAAAAGTGTTTGCTGTTTATGCGGGCTATATCGTCATGTAAAACAAACGGACATCCGAAGTACAGTTTTTCAGTTATAACCAATTATCAATAATCGGGAGACCCATTTTTCAGTTTCTTTGAATTTGCGGCGCACCCTGTACATTTTTCAAACATTTTCAGGAGTAAAGTTTTATGCAAACGTAATTTTTAATTTTTAAAAATACTGCCCGACCAACCAGCCCCCCCCCCCCCCAATTTTAATAGGTTCCGTGAGAGGACCAAACACTATCAGACTGAAAAATTTAAAGTCGATAGCTTCAAATTTCGGTCACTTATCGTGTTTCATAGCAATGTCCAAAAAACAGTCGAATATCAAAAAAAAAGATGGACGCTGAAGTTTGAGCGTAGCCATTTTCACATATCTTATGCATCTCGTGAAGTGTTAAAAAGTAGCAAAATTTGAAGCGTCGAACTCAAACCGTTCGGAAGTTATCGTCGAAAGAGTTCAGTAACATAGAACGGAGAATGGACAGACAAAAAAAACCGTTTTCATCTGTGCCAACGATGCCGACGGCTAGGACGCACCGTTTTCGAGATCTGAGTTTAGTGATTTCACCGATTTTTCGAAAGTAACAAGAAATTGGTGTCCATCGCTTCATTTCGAATTTGCTGGCCCAAACTCCGTCAAAGGGATGACCGTCCCGTGTAAAAAAAAAAACATACCCGGGATTACGTACGGTCCGACAAGCGGGCGGGTCGGAAGGGGGATCCGGGGGACACCGGTTTAACGAAAATGCCCCGGAATTTCGACAGTGCCGGAGTCCGTAACACCGGAAATGACGCCATTAACGCGAACGCGGGTCCGGCCGATTGTTTTCGGCCAGGAGACCGTTAAAAAATAGTCCCGGGTCGGTCGAAAATTTATTAGCGGGACCGCAGGGGCCCCCGTCCCGTCCCGCACCACCGCCGCCGATAATAAACTCCACAATAGTGTTTATAATAGGGGTGGGGGTCCGGGCGGGTTTTCGCCTGCGATGAGCGCGATAATGGAGCTTTGATTAGTGGCCGGTTTAAAGCCATTAATTGAAATATGTCGACGGCGATGATTTGGAATTGATAAAAGGGGGGTCACGTGACGCGTCAATTTTTAACGAAGATTTAAGTGAAACGGGCGAGGCAGGGCAGAGATAACGGCTAAATGGAGTTTGCTAATACCCGCGAACCATTGTTTATACAGTGCGATCCTCCAAAATGCGATCTACTACTAGATCAAAGCTGAGCAACGAAGCAGAAAACTGGTCCTAGAAAGGCAGTTAGAAGGACCAGGTGTATTATTCTCAAAAGAGTTTCTGAAATCTTTTTCAAGCCAACAGCAATCAACTTCCATATTGATTCCTTCAACGCCTCAGAGTTGAGGAGGAAGATTTTCGAAGATAAAACCCTATCCGAAATCACCCAGCACGTCCTGCGAAACCTTGCTGGACCTTACCAGTACCACTGCAGATGATTCTTCTACACAGCAGGAATATTAATCTGAAAAAACAAGTCAAGAGGTTTCTTCAAGTTTCGAAGATTTTTAGTCGATGGTACATGAGAAACACTAACTACACCAAAGTAGAATCTTGAATCGACTCCTTGCAGTTGACAAGAAGGCTTTCAAAAGATCGCGCAGCAAGTCATGTACCGCTACAGATGATTCTTCTACACTGCAGAAACGTTGGTTTGGAAAAACAAGTTTTGAGGATTTAATATTACAATTTGTCGAGATATAATTATAAAGATTTACAGTGGATGATACATGGGAAACACTGACGGCACCAAAGTAGAACCTTGAGTCAACTCCTGCATTTATTAATTTAACTCCTCAGAGTTGGTGACTAAGACTTTCGAAAGATCAAGTCATACGAACCATTGCTGTCCTTTACCCGTACCGCTACAGATGATTCTTCTACACTACAGAAACGTCAGTCTGGAAAAACAGGTCAAGAAGTTTCTTGAAGTTTCAAGGATTTAATATTTCCATTTGTCGGGTAGTAGTTATGAAGATGTTGAACTTCTCAGAGTTGAAGGGTTTGAAAGTTTTGAAAACTCGCACCCCTGAGATTCCCCAGCAAAACCTTAATGTACCTTACCCATACTGCTGCAAGGGTTATTGTTCAAGTTTTAAAGAGTTCATGTTATAATTTGCCAAGTGAAACTTGATAAACAGCAACGACACCAAAATAGAACCTTGAATCAACTCTTGTATCTATTACTTCAACTCAACATTTTCAACTTGACTTGTGCACCGCGTTATCATCATATACGTTATTACGCGCTACGTCACCGCGACTCAACTTAAGCACTCGGCATCACTTCATTATGAGATAACAGTAATCGACCGAGACCATCATCAGGTCTGAATTCAAATGCAAATGAGCATCCGCGCCATTAACCGCAATTTCGACCTTACCGTTTCATCCTCGAAGTGGCAATAACAAATTCAGCTGTCAATAAGTAAGGCTTGATGTTTGTAGAATGGTGGAGGTGGTCAAAAAATATGCAACAATGGCGGTTTTGTTATAGTAATACTGTAATATTTTACTTTCCTACATATTTGTAGCTCCCTGTGGGCGAAGTATTAACAAAGTTTTCCCCTTTTGAATGACCCGAGCGAATGAATTGCTTGTCGAATTTCACGGACTAGGTTTATCCCGAACCCAATATCGGAAGAAGTTTCCGGTTCATTTTCCATTAAAGGGCGATAAAAAGTTGCGTATAAGTTTGCCGGAATAAACTTCACCTCTTTAGGTCGATCGTGAGAGAAACTCCCAATTCACCCTATACGGAAACGGCACGTCGAGGCTGACAGAAGCCCAGTATAAAATTTTAAATTTTATTTGGAGAACGTTAAATATCCCTAGAAATGATCCGAATGATGATACTAGAATTCAACATAAGTGGTCTTGAGTCAGGAGTTAAAAAATCCATGATTTCTGGCATACTTGGACCAAAAATATAGTGCTTTTACAACTGACCTCCTGATTAACTTTGATAGAACACCCTGAGGAACAAACCCTCACACGTAACCATTAAAGGACCGTCCTTGTAATTTCTCGTGCTACACTAACAAGCGGGATATAAGTATAAGTAATTTATTACTTATAAATATAATATAATATAATAATAAAGTATCAGTCACTTGAAACATCGTCACTTCTAGGGTTAAAATGCTATTCACTTTATAAGCGTCGTAGATTATACGCCTAATTGCGAAGAACGAGCATCTTCTCTCACTTTCCTCTTGACTATCCCATTTGAAACAATTTTTCTTTGTCGACTTCGGAACTTTGGTCATGAAACTTGTTTTTATTCCTGCTCCTACTTTCCCTTCTTTCTTTTAAAATTGTAAACATTTAAAACAATTCGTTTCGAATCCGAAGACAAATGGATCCGTTTTTTTATTTGCTGACGTAGTTCGTCTTCCAAATTGTGATTAGTTTCGACTACATCTGCCCTTCGTCTTCAAATTCTGCGCTGTTTTCAATTCTTCTTCTAACAGGGGAACACCTGCTTCATTTTTTTGCTCCACATTTTAAAGTGTTAAAAAAAAGGAACTTCCAAAAATGTTTAATTGTAAAATTTTAATAAATATTTATCTGTATTCTGATGACGTAACTTTATCTACCATGAATATAATCTATAGACTTAAAAAAGAGTCTACGAACTATGTAGAAAATACAAACATACAAGAAAAAGAATGTTGTTATTCGACAGGCACATAAGATAAAAATAATTACTTATCCTTTGAACTATCCAGTGAAAACAGCAAAGCTCAATAATCTAATACGTAAATACTTACTTATTCAAAGGATCACAATGAAATATATACGAACATATTGGAATTTAGATTAGACTCTTATGAACGATACGCATCACCTGATATTAAAATAAACGCTTCCACTTATTCGAAAATGCATAATCAAATTTAAAACGATCCATTTACGTTTCAAATAAATTTCAAGTTTCAACAAATATTCGTGGCAGTCTATCTCAGGCAAAACCTACTTAATGCAGAATAAAAAAGGAAAAAATACTGAAAATACTTAAAACGTGAAAGCAATAAATGCACTATATTTTTGGTTGTATTACAGTAACTTTGACACTCTGTGTTACCACCAACTTTCCATAGCTAACCTACCGATCGTCATTACAGGAAATTGTCTTTTTTTATTAGTCCCTACGTCCCTAAACTTGGCGTTAACTATGACTAAACTAACTTCCACGGGCTGCTATAATACAAATCTTCAGAAATCCAGAAGATTTGTAAAAGGTAACTCACGCTATCGTTTCAGGTCATAATCGCCATGACAGCGGAACAAATTTACGGTGTCAATGGAACCCGGGGGAACCTGTCCCTCTTCGCAAACGACCTTAACATTTCGTCGGGCCCTTACGAGTTCGAACAGCTCAACAACTGGTGGGCACTGTCGGCCATAGGCTTGGCCGTCGGGACAGCGGCCGGAAATATCCTGGTGTGCTTGGCCATCTGCTGGGAGAGGAGGTTGCAGAACATGACCAACTACTTTCTCATGTCGCTCGCCATCACCGACCTGATGGTCGCCATCTTGGTGATGCCGCTCGGCATTTTGACGTTATTTCGAGGTACGTTTTACTCTTTGCTTGCGTACGTTGGTGTGTCGTGGGAGGCGATTGGCCAAAGCAAGAATTTAGGAAACACGAGCAGCTCTGTAGGAGTTGGCTAGGCTCTAGGAAAACATATGACTGTATAGGGATGGACGAGTTCAGTCTGTAAAATTAGTGAAATTCTAATACACTTTTAAGAAGCTAGGAAACAAAAAACAGTGTTAAACAACAATGGTACTGCAGTGAAGCATATTTCTTAAGAGAAGAACTCCCTCGGCATGGTGACGTTATTTCGAGGTACGTTTTACTCTTTGCTTGCGTACGTTGGTGTGTCGTGGGAGGGGATTGGCCAAAGCAAGAACTTAGTAAACACGAGCAGCACTGTAGAAGTTGGCTAGGCTCTAACAAAACATATGACTTTATAGGGATGGACGAGTACAATGTGTAGAATTAGTGAAATTCTAATAGACTTTAAAGAAGCTAGGAAACAAAAAACAGTGTTAAATAACAATGGTACTGCAGTAAAGCTGGACCTGATTTCATATTTCTTAAGAGAAGAACTCACAAGTGATGTTGATGTCTGGATCATAAAAGCGATCTAGATCTGTATCAGAGGTGAGAACAATGTGAATATAAATATTATGCCAAGACTGAATCGGAATAGTGTGATCAAAACTGAGGAGATACACTTGAAAAGAATTGTGCAAAAGAAATCTGAACACATAGGTGAATCGCGCCATCTCTCGAATATAGACGGCAAGGACAGATAAAGGGAATCTCAGAAAAGTAGAGTTCTCTATTGTTATCTTTCATATATCGTGCACTATTTCTACACATTTTTGTTCCCAGCATCTCTAATAGCAGCTCTTGGTTTTTGCTATTATGTATGTCCCGGTTCTCGTAGTCTTTTTGACAGAAATGGGTTCTACTGTGCTACCGTTTCCTTTATTTCTCCAGTTAATCAACAACAACAAGGGGGGTTTCTAATTCTTCGACAGCCCAAATGCCGGAACACCAAGACCACTCGATCTTGGTGCAGCTTTTTGATCATCTCATCGTGTACCAAGTTTAATTTAAACGTTCTTCATTGTTTATTTGGTTCCTGGGTTGTGATTCTTAGTTTTTTAGGAATGGACTTATTTATATTACCACCACTAAGTAATGATCGAACCCAATTCAATGCTCTCTAAAATCTTGAGTCCTCAGATTTCTGTGGGAAATGGGTAAAATTAAGATTTCTTAAGCTGTGGCAAGGGCCAGTTCTCTCATTTCGCTGACCGAACGTCGGTAATAAAACAGTAATAACCTATACAGCGCACGCTGGTGCATAATGAACGCGATCTCATTTCCTTCTAGTGGTTCGTGCGGAACGTTAAGTTTTGTGTATCACGACCCTTAATTTTAAAGTGTTCTCGTGTCAAATTCCAATTTTCTCTCTCGACGATGCAATATTTACCGCGAGCCGGGCCGCACAACGAAAGAACGGCAATTTAAAACTAACAAGCCTGTCTCATTCATATTCCAAGGGGTTTAATAACGTATACGACCGAGGCGGGAGGAGGGTTCGTTACGCTTCGAAACTTTCCCTCATTTCGTGCGACCTTGGCGGTGCGAGATCGTTATTACGCCTAAACTGCTACAAGCACACTACAGGAAGAGCAATTAGAACCATCAACTGTTTGTAGACTTCAAATAGGCATATGACAAAAAATATTTGACGTCCAAGCTCTTTCAGATCCTTTTAACCTAGCGAATGCTGTGAACTCCAGGCGTCTCAAAGAGAATTCTGTTTTTGATGGTTCGAAGATGTTGAGCGACTTTTTTACAAGTGATAACAAGTTTTGATAACGAAGAATGAGAAGGAACTTCAATCGAGAGTAAATATTATGTTATCTAAAAATGAACCTAGGAAAAAGAAGTGGTTTCCATCAAAATGACAAGAAGAAAGAAGGCAAAATGGAGGAAACTATCTACAAAAAAAAACCGAACAAATTGCTGATCGCTGATATAAGGCGATTTAAGAAATTTACGATGCAGCGCCGTTAATTCCCTTCTTCCACAATACTCGTGACGTTATTTTCAGTCTTTTTCTAGCCGCGTTTTTAGTCTTCTCTGGGGACGAGACTTGTCGCTCGATCGTAATCAGATTCATTTCGTCGCCTTTCTGGAACCTCCGCCGTCCCCCTTTCCCTAAAAGAATTCCTCGAGATGTTTTAATGGGATTTATATGTTTCGGGATGAATATTTATCCAGACACCTTGGAAACCCTCGGCATTCGTCTGTTTTTTTTTCATTCTGCGCCAGTGGCGTAGGTGTACTTTTGGCGTTCTCAAACTGACACTGTTGACATACCATGTAACAAATTCTGTGTGCGTACTGGGTTGTTCATTATAATTTGACACCCGCCAACAGGGTTAATTTTGAAAGATAGAAAAAAATGTGTAAACACAAAAGTTTAAAGATTTTTGCTCTATTATCTTATGCAAATGTTAGAAAAAACAAACGACTACCTGAAGTTGTCCAAATTACACCAACATAATTTTTTTTTAATGGAATACCCTATATATTATTAGCTTAAATCGTGTATCTTTCTTCATGATTTCGAAAACATATAGATAATTGACATTTCATTTAGCCATTTTTAAAATATTTCCGTTTATAAATAATTATCATTTCATTTCTGGACAGTAGCCATATTGTTTAAAAATTTTCAAGTCTGCTTTGATAGCAACCATATTATCTATGTTTACAATTGTTTTAACAATTTCCTACTTTTGACAACTAATCAAAACTAAAGATATGGAGCGTAAGTTATTATAAGATATTTCAGATGGGTTATACTGGGGGAGAAATAACTGTAATGGAATTACATGATTCAAATGGACATAACGTTGCAAGAATATGCAATTAATAATGTAACAATTCGAGGACCGAAATAGTGTCACACGGAAGATCAGGACAATGGAAATAAATTTTATATATCGTTGCAATATTACGAGCCTTGACATAATAACTTTCACTTCCATTTTCTTAATTTGTATGTTTCATATTTTTAAAAAAATAGTGAACGTTCTATACCTGAAGTTAAAGATTATCCGACAAGTTCTATGGAAAAGTTCAGCCAACGCTAAGATATCATATCAAGTTTCACCCGTATAAGTTCCTTCCAGTGCAAAATTTAACCGATGAACATAAAATGTATAGAAGATCTCAAGATTATCTAAATAATAAGTATAGACTTTGGATAGGTAGGCAAGGAACTATTAAATGACCTGGCAATACCTGAATCCTTATGAGATTCTTTTGTGAGGATAAAATGTATTATAATAGACCTGAAGGTTTACAAGTGTTAACAAAAAGACTTAATATCGTTTTACCACATCTAATCAGGGAAAACCGTGATTTTATCATCTCCTGTATTAACAGGAAATTGAAAGAAAATATTGTCCGATGTATAGAAAATAATGTAGGTCATGTGTATGATGTTTGACAGCTTGCAATCGTTGTTCGTTTTTTCTGACATTTGCATAAGATAGAGCAAAAACCTTCAAACTTTTGTATTTACACTTTTTTTTTCTCTCTTTCAAATTTAACCCTGTAAGTGAGTGTCAAGATATAATGAATAACCCTGTACACCCTAACGGGAAGGAAGATTGAACAAAAAAAAAAGAACTCTATTGCTAAATGTACGCCAACTACCGGTATCCGCATGAAGTGTGTCTTCATATTTGTCCATTCTTAACTCGGGACAACCGACTTTATAACTTAATTACAGAGAAACACTTATATTAAGCGACATTAATGCACCTCTTTATTGAAATGGTCGATAATATGTGAAAGACCCTCGTAAATTTGTTCGTAATTAACAGCGTCAGTAATAAGTTGCGATGTATCCTCTCTCTCTCTCCGGCGGAATTGATCGATGAAATAAGCTGCGGCGGAACGAGTTTTAGTGGAAAAGTTTGGCTCGAAATAACCGCGAGCTTTTCAATGAACTCCCCCATTCCGGATGCTTAAAACGCTTTTTGATATACAACGACCTGTTCCGAATGTTTGTGAACGTCATTTATCGTAGAATATTCGACTGTTTTCTTTGGCTTTTTTCGATAAAGTTAATCGACATAAAAATCTAATTTAAAGCTTTAAAATTGGCTCATCATCGACAGAAAGAAACCGCTTTAATCCGTCAGTAGAATAGCGAAGTGGGTTCTGAGAGACTTTTGGTGGAAAATTTTTAATCTTCATGAATCTTGGCGTTATCGAACCTCGACGATAGAAACGCTTGTAATCAAAATTTCGGAAGCAATGCGGCAACTTCGATTCGAATGCTTTGTTTCGTCTTCGGACCTGTAGGCCTGAGCATCAGCGACGGACTTTTAACTAAATAGGTACCTTTTGTTCAAAATCTGATTCTGTTTCACTCTCAGAGTCGCCATTAAGATGAATTGATTACAAATGTAACGTTTCCAGCTTTCGACAGGTATATTATGAAAGTTGAAAGTTGATTTCGATCTGACATTTGATTCTGTATAATTTAAATCAAATAAATAAAATCTCGGTTGGTTTAAACATTATTTTTATTAGTACAAGAACAAAGACTTGTATATTCCATGTTTTTGAGAAAGTAGTCCAGATCTAATGTACTTTTATACTCATCTTGCATCCCAAATTTTTAATTCGAAGTCTGGTTGCTAAAATGTCGGAATGATCCTTAGGTAAAATTAAGTTTCACACTAAGTCGTCAAGTTCTGATTGTGAAAATTGTTGTGGTTGCTGAGAAACACTCCATTTACCACCACCACAGGACATCTTCATCTATTTGAGGTTCAGGAAAACTTGTTGTGTCTTCTTCTAATTTAGCAGCATTCTCAAGTAATGAGACATCTGGGCAGATGCAGTACGTGCAAGAAATAGCAGTCATCAAAGTGATTTGTTGGCTCATAGGTATTCCACAAGCTAGAGATCGACTGGTTCTATCGTCCTAATATCTTAAACCCAGTACGCATACCTTACAAACAACATTAAAAATGAGCGTAGCATTGTTTTTAAACAGGTATGTCTAAATTTCTTGACCATAAAAGAACCACACACACGTAACAAAACATAACTGGCATTTCTTGGCATTTATAAAGAAATTTAATTGCACAACAATCAAAAATAACATCACAAAATCTTCGTCAGCCTGTGCTAGTGAGTAACATTTTACTTGGTGTCAAAAATTTGCTATCGGGTTGAATATCCAATATATGGATTAACACATGCGTTGAGCTAAACCATAACACAAATGTTGTTAAGGGCACTTCCAAAAGTTGTCCCTTCTCGTAACAAGCTTCAAAATAAATATCAATATGTTGCTTTGTGTAGCAGACTGTTAGTTTTGGTTAGTTGAGGAGAGGGTGAGGAGACTAGAAATTATAACGGAAATAGTTACATTAGAAGAATGAATGGCAAATATGATCCTACCAAAGGAAGGAAAAGAGGAAGACCCAGACTCTCATGTGGACAGGAAGTTCAAAATGCAATACAGATAATGATTGACAAGAGATTGCAGGATACATCAATATATGTAAAAAAAGGAAAAAATTAAGCTCTGAAGAACCCAACAGCAAGTTCGACTCAACAATAACCGACGCAAGAAGAATCCAGAAGTTTTGTAAAAAGCATAAAAGAATGAACAGTTTGAAAAATAACATGACAGTTAATCCTAGATGTGACAAACTCGATATAAAACCTTTTATGACTAATTAAAGTTTTATAGAGCTTGTTGTCTGGCTATGAAAGCAATTCTTTAGAAACATTTTGATTTATGGAAGCATAAATTTTCGAATCAAACTCCCACAGAAAGGGCCGTCTAACGATCCCTGCCTAGGTGGTATATCGCGCTTCTAGAAGCGAATGCGAACATTGCGGTTGGCGTACGTCCAAAACAGTACAAAATCTGCCAGAGATCGCTAAACGCAACCAACAGGCATAACACGATTAAACGGTTAGTAACGAGCAAACAGCGTTGTGGGATTCGAGGTAGGAAAACAGACGCGTCGGCAGTAATCTCGACATTAAAAGTGAGACGTTGCAAAAACGGGTTCGCATGTGAAATACGACCCGTACAGAATAGTTTGCTTGGCTACGTGCTTAAGTTTACGAAGAGTTGTGCTGAAGAAGTCAATACCGCTACTCATGTCTCTACCTGTCACTAATATGGGAATCAGTCAACCGAGACGGCGTGTATGCCCCTTATTTAGCCCCGCCCCCTCAAACAATATATAAGCAGGTACACAGCAAAATGCGAGCCAGTTTCAGTCAAGCTCTGAAGAAACCAACAGAATGATCGGTGACGCAAAAACTGACGCAGGAGGAATGCAGAAGTTTTGTAAAAAGTATTACAGTAGCTTCAGAAGTTTCTTTGAAAAAAAAAAGTCAATATGCAACTAGGTTTAATAATGTGGTACTACTCTATTGAGGACGTTTATGTTGATCTCGGATATCTGAGTGCGTGTGGCAAATAATTTTGAAGTGGTGCATGCCTCCAGAGTCCTATAAAGATTAAATTAGCAAAATTACGCCTGGATACTATAGCGTCCATCTGGATATCTGAATATTACTATATGTTTGGAAGGAACTTGGTGGATATTGTATCAGACTGATACATTATTATTTTATAGGGTGGACAGTTTATCTTGGGACATTAACTTATCTCCGAAACTACAAGGGATTGTGCCAAAAGTTCATTATTGTGTTATAAACCCTTAATTTATTTTATATATTTTTATTTATTATATGCAGGGCATTTTATTTTTCGTGAGCGAGTCTCAATTCTCTTATTTTAAATGGAATACGTGGTATGCTACTTCGTTTTTGAATTTTATACAAAATTCTAGACATATTTTGTGTATAATATCCTATACCTAAGATTAATCGGACTCGAATAACGGATTTCATATGAAACTATAAGGGATTGTGCCAAAAGTTAATTATTGTATTATAAACCCTTAATTTATTTTAATTTTGTATATGCAGGGCATTTTATTTTTCGTGAGCGAGTCTCAATTCTCTTATTTTAAATGGAATACCTGGTATGCTACTTCATTTTTGAATTTTATACAAAATTCTAGACATATTTTGTGTATAATATCCTATACCTAAGACTAACCGGACTCGAATAACGGATTTCACATGAAATTTCGGTATATATTAATACACGGTACTCAAAAAATAAGATTAAAAATGAAATTAAAAAAACTGCCAAAAAACTTTTTTTTATGGAAACTGCCTATTTTTATAATCTTGTCGTTAAAAATTAAGGCAATTTTATGCAAGGTTGTTTATGCCTAATAATTTCACATTTCAAACATAATACCGTAAAAATCGGGTCTTCCGATACATATCCTAACTACCATTCTCCCCAATCTATTCTCTATAGTGTGCACTTCAATAAGTGTAAATTTCTAACATCTAAGTAGCTCTAAGTAGCGTGGGGAATTTAAATTCTGATTAAAATATAATAAAAACTGCTAGTCTGAGGTATAGGAATTATACCCAAAATATACCGGGCGTTCCATTTAAAATAAGAAAATTGATACTCGCCCAAGAAAAATGAAACACCCTGTATATACAACACTAAAATAAGTCGAAGGTTTGTAATACTCCAACTAACTTCTGTATTTACTTGTACTTTTTTCTCCATAACCTATAGCGATAAGGTAGCGTCCGAAGACAAATGGCCCAGCCTATACATTAAGTGACAGTTTCATAGGACTTTCGTCTACTTTCAACTACTTCGGTTCAATTCCAGGCTATTTTCCGCTTCCATCCGTTTACTGCCTTGCTTGGATCTGCCTGGACGTGTTGTTCTGTACGGCATCGATCATGCATCTCTGTACGATCAGCGTCGATCGGTACCTCTCCCTGAGGTACCCGATGAAGTTCGGCAGAAACAAGTCACGACGCAGGGTAGTGCTGAAGATCGTCTTCGTCTGGCTTCTATCCATAGCCATGAGTTTGCCCCTGAGCCTCATGTATTCTAAGGTAAGCCTACAAATTAACTTTGGTTGAAGCATTAGTATTGTGGGTTGTTAACGTAAACAGCTCATACCACGTGTAGTCACGTCATAGATGATGCGATTTCTAGACACCACGGAAGCTACTTGGTTTTCCGACTTTGTAGTCCAAGATTCTTTTTTTTTAACTGCTCGTAGTGCATAGTGTACAAAATGATGAAGCAGCATAGCATGTCATTCAAATCCGCACTTCTAGCTGTTATAGCACTGAAAGTACCTACAATACACAATCATTTTGGGAATAAACCAACTTGGTTGGCTTGAATTAATATATAAATGACGTTACCAGGGAAAGATCTTGGACATGTATTTCCTATATTTTTGATTCTTTTTCGTATCAACTGTGTTTAGATCAGTCAAATATATAACATAAAAAGATTTTTTTATAATGAAAATATAGACATATATAGGCATTTTCTAATAAATGAGAGTTTCTGTGAAATATATAGAGACTCGTGAAATTGACACTTTGGAAGTCCTTAAAATTTGGAACCTAAACACATTATAAATAAATGTTTAATTGGAAGCGGACCATGGTCACCCCGTTACTTAATTCCCGTTAATTTTAATATTTACCGATGTTTGCTGTACCTTTGAATATACTGTTACCCCTGAAATGTGGAAAATTTCATTTCATATGTGGTATAAATGGACACAAGTAATGGATATTACTTAATATTTAGAAATTCTGAACGTCATCGAATCATATTACAGTAAAAAATATTTTGGTAAAACGAAACAATGTAAACGACGGCAACGCTGTGCCGGCCGAACTCGATGACATGATTACAAGCCTGTTTGATATGCGCTATACAAGAATCTGATGCGTCTAGTGGTTCGAGAAGAGCTCGAAATTTTGGAACTTACTGTCGTAGCGATGTTCCAAGCAAAAACCACTAATAGCTGACAAAATGGGCACCCGATGTATGATGGGCTCAATATTTTGGGAGCCGCCGTGCATCTTCTGGTATAAGAACGGAAGAAAATTTGAAGCCCGTACTTAAAACGGTTCGACCGTTATCGGACTTAAAGAAACTTCCTCCCGGTCGGTTACAGAGAACAGAGAACAAAAGAAAAAATTTTTTTGGACCCCGAATATTCGACCGAGCCGTTACCGAAATCTCAAGTTTAGAGATGAGCGTTGACACTTTCAGCGAAGTGCCAGGACGGCAATCCATTTTAGTAGATATGATAAGCGGTTTCGGCGATTGATTAGGTGAAGATAGCTGTCGACGACCTTGAAATCCGGGCGTTTCGCTAAATTCGCGCCTCATATTCCCCTGACGTGAGGGGGAGTTCCCCACCCTCAGCGCGGCTTAGTACGGATTCCACGAAAAACTTCCCCCCCTCACAGCCCGCGGCGCTCCTTAAAAGACACGAAATGAAAATCATTATCGAGCTTTCGTCTACAAATAAACCGAAAGGAAAACAAAAACAGTCGGGGGGCACGATGCCCAATTAAAACGTCATTGTCCAGCTGCAAAACCCTTTGATGTCGGTTCACAATGGCGAGCCCCGTCTAGCGACACGGTTAATAAATTACAATCGCCTCCGGGGGCCATTTTAATGGCGGTTATGACGAATCGATACAGGGTGGCGGTTTTTTCGTCCCACGTGCGAAGTGGAGGCATATTGCCCACCGGGTATACGAGATGTTTTCAGAAACATGTGACGACGGTCACTTGAAGTTTTTCAGTTGAGTCTTTAATTACTTAGTTTGCAAGATTTTGTGGCAATTCGGGAATGTCATACTTTTCACAAAACTTCTGGATTCCTTCTGCGTCGGTTGATGTTGAGTCGAACTTGCTAACGTTTCGCCAATCATCCTGTTGGCTTCTTCAGCGCCTAACTGAAACTGGCTCGCATTTTACTCTGTACTTGCTTATATATTGTTTGAGGGTAGAGGAGCTAAATGAAAGACCTCAGTCGTGATTATGATTGATGGGTTGCTTAAAGATTTCCATAAACTTTCGGATTTTTCGTTGGTACAAGAATTGATTACATGTAAGAATTGTAGTTTATGATTGTCTTAGTCTTAAGGCTCTTTCATATTCTTTGAGCCTAGCCGATATTTTTCGTCCGGTCTCTCAAATGTAATCTTTGCATGGAATGCTGTAAACTCCAGGCATCTCAAATGAAAATTTGTCTTTGATGGATTGAAGATGTTGAGAGATTTTTGGATTAATGGTAAATCTGGTTTTGACGTTATATTTCTTTATAACTTTTGATATGTGGTCAGTAATGTTTTAAATTTAAAGTTTTGAAGAATGTTTGAACGGTTGTAAGCTTGCGATTACTTTCGGATTCATTGCTATTGGAAGGTTGTGGTGAAGTGTATTTTATGATGGAACGCTTAATATCTTTAATATGTAAGTTATTAGAGAGAAGAGCAGGGGTAAGGTATTCTAATTCTAGGTTCAGTGAATCGGACTGAGATAGTTTTACGACTCTGTAAACAAGACAGTTGATAACCGATGATATGTACGTAGGTTTTCTGTAAACAGAATGACCCAATGTTAGGTCTAATTTTCTATTGATAAGATAATCTAAGAATGGGAGGTTATTATTAGCTTTTAATTCAATGGTAAAACGTAAAACGTACGAGTATGGCGTTTAAAGGTCTACTACTAGAGATTTTTGACCATTAGGCCAAATAACAAAAGTATCATCGCGTTTGCATAATTTTGGTTTTAGATGAAAGGTGTCGAGAACTTTCTTCTCAAAGACTTCCACAAATATATTTGCGATGGCTGGCGATAGTGGCGAACCCATAGCTGTTCCCGACGTTTGTTCAAAAATTTGACCGATATAAGAAAAATATGTTCCAGGCAAGCATTTTTCGATTAAGGTGAGAAGGTTTCGTTCCAGATTCTGGGATTTAAATATACCTGAAACAATATTGAAAATTTTCAGAAATAGAGACTTTAGTAAAGAGGGATTCTACGTCGAAACTAACCAGAATATCTTGTGTATCTAATGTAATACTTTTCAGTTGTTCAATGAAGTGTAAATTAAGTGTAAAACTATCCGTTTTCCTTATAAAGTTAAAATCCTTTATAGGGAAAACGGATAGGAAGCTAAATATCTTGCTAGAGAATATGTTGGAGTACCAAATCTTAGATCTGTCAAAGATAAAATTCCATTTGAGATGCCAGAAGTTTACAGCATTCCATGCATACAGCAAAGAATATATATATATATATATATATATATATATATATATATATATATATATATATATATATATATATATATATATATATATATATGGAAGAAGCCAGCAGGGTGACAGCAAGTTCGATTCAACAAAAACCGACGCAGGATCAACCAAGACATTTTGTAAAAGTATTACAATAGTCTATGGAAATTTCTTTGAAAAATTTGGGTTTATTTAATTAATGATATCAAAAGAAAATTTCATTTTATTGTTGACACACTGAACTAAAGATTTGAATCGCCCTGTATTTCGTCCCGTATTGTTTACCGAGGCGTGAACTGCGAGCGAAACGAGCGGTGTCCCTCACAATAGCGGAAAAACAAGCCGTTTTGTGTTTATTTTTTAACGTCGGATGTCGCGCACAGTAGCGTCGCCTTATTTCCAGCCTTTTTTTTTGTTTCCAGAACCAGGCCTCGTTGATAATAGAAGGGACGTGTCAAATACCCGACCCCTTGTACAAGCTGATCGGGTCGATAATATGTTTTTACATACCGCTGCTGGTCATGTTGGTGACGTACGCGCTTACGGTTCGCTTGCTGGCCAATCAGGAACAGAAACTAGGCACCGCGAACTGGTCTAGCAACTGGATGGGACCCACGGTCCCGCCCCTAGGTAAAGGCGTCATAGAAAATGTCGAAAAGAATAATTCTCGTTCCTATTTTACCGTCTTTATACCCGCACTTCTTCACTCCCTCCACTAGAAAAACCCCGTACTGTGGAAGAACAGTACCTGTTTCATGGAGAGTTTCGACAGCTCATGGTGGTAATTGTAATTTAAAAAGGGCTACCAGATTAAACTGAAAAACGTGTAGGGGTTTTCATTTTCATTATTTAGTTATTTTAAAAATTTTAGTAAATGAACTAACTATCTAAAATTGACATTTTCAATACGTTGTCGGTGTAGCTCGGAGAAATGTCGCATTACAAGTGATATTTCCAACTGCATCCTAACAAATCAGAACTAAAAGGTAGCGGGATTCCCCGGTGTGTTTCCAGAACGCCGATACACGTGGAAAAAACTGCTGATGACGAATTCGAAAAGCAACAAATCGTCGACGTCGCAGTACGGCCATTCGGCCGGCTCCACCGACACCGAAATGACGATGCTCGACACCAACGAACTCTGGATTCAAGAGTCGGAACCGACACCCTGCACGATGTCCGCTCTAGGTCAGTTCGGTGCGGAAATGTTGAAACTGTCGCGCACTTTGCAGGAAAACGCCATAGCGCAGGACAAAACCAAAAACGATCTGTTGGAAGGAAACTACGTCAAGTCGATGTAAGCCTAAAAAGTTTTAAAATGTTTGTACTGAACTCCCATTAGGAACCCGAAAGCACCATTCGAGTTATCGCTCCTTTTTTTTAGGTGGTTTCTCCTGGGGTCTGCTCCACTAATAAAGGGTTTGTCATTAAGAGGAGTTATTTTGATATTCAAAGAAAAATGGCATTTTCTTAAATGTTTATTTCAGATTAATTATGGAAAACGATATCTAAAAGTCGCAATGTGTTAAATCGCAAGATCTTGGTGGCCAATTATGATCACCTGTTCTACAGATAACACGCTCCGGAAACTTTTCCGTTAACGATCGGATATAAAAATCATTAATCATCTCTCGATAGCGTAATCCAGTCGTCATAGCTGTTATTCCAGTCTCATTTTCGAAAGAGTAAAGTCCAAGAATCCCGCCGGGCCATAGGATTTAACACCCGATTTCACAATTTTGTCTTATCAGTCCAGATTTTTCGATGAAATTCCGGATCATTTTCGTGCATTTAAAGGCCTTAATCAGCAAAGATGTTTTTGATGATCGGTCGGGTTGAGTTCTCGTGTGAACTTCATAAGCCTTAAGACCCGAATATTTGCAAAAAAAAAGCGAAATGATGTTTGTCGAATGCCCAATTCCAAAAAACAACGAGGAATGGACAAACCTGGGGTGAATTTTAATAATTTCAATGGTATCGTGCCATTTTTATTAATATAAAATATAAATTATTCAAAGTAACACCTCTTACTGAAGGACCCTTTACGTCACTATTTCGTTTTTCACCTCTGACGACATTTAAACGATGTTCTTGACAATTAACCACTAGCAATTTAAAATTTCAGATAACATCACCTATAGTGATTAAAGAGCTTCTGTAAGGCAAGCGCAAATTGCTCTCCATATTCGGCAACGTCATCTTCTACAGGGTGATCCGTTTAAGAAGGGGCTATAAGTCATGTCGAAACCTACGGGGGGTTACAATAGTATATTATGCAACAAGTGCGGTAAACGGCATTTGGCTCACGAGCGGAGCGAGAGTTTAATAAACGAGTGAGTGAAAAAGTTTACCGAACGTGTTGCATATTATACTTTTTCTACGACCGTTAGTTTTTGGGAAGATTTTCGCAAAACAAAACGAATACATTCACTGACATAACGGTCAGAATTGACAAACGTCAAAATTTCAGCGTAAGAAATATCTCCGAAAAAATCCGATTGCTCCATGCCGTAAAATCCCGGAAATGTCCGAAGCGGTTCGGATTCGTGGGAAACGAAAATGACGTGGTAAAGTGGCGCTCCCCGCACGCTAGATCGGTGCGTAATTAGGTATTTTACAGACGGGTGTAGAACAAAAATTTTTAATACAAAAGTTGTTTCTATTAACATGAACTTTTTTCTATTCTCCTAATCATCCTTTTTTTATAGAAATGGAACATCCCACATTTTATTGCATTTTTGGATAGTCCTTTAAAAGACAAATGCTTTTTCTCAAAATACGCAGTGTTGCCAATTTTCTTGAATGAAGCACCCTGTATATTATTGGATGTTCGAATAGTGACTTTAATAGCAATTTCAGATATATAACATAGTACGGGTCTCTGGCTTACCGTTTTGACTTAATTGGCAATTATTTTCCAATAATACATAAACTCTTTTACATTCATAATTTAAGAATCTTGTAAATAAGATCTTTAAATGGAAAATTAAAATTTACAAAATATTCATATTCTTAATAATATAGACCACATATCTTTAAAAAGTATGTAGAAACCTGTCTGTTGAAAGACACATACACAAAATTGATGATATTAGTTTTGACCTTTGTGACATAATCATCATAGTAGCTTTGAAACCAATAGTAGTTCTCTGTTGTGGTAATGTTACCGATTTTTTGACTGCTATAAATGTATTATAATATTTTCTAATTATTTAATTAAGTCGCATTTTTGTTGAGTCAATTTTAATATCCACGAAAGTAAAATTTTAGGATCCATATTATACAAACAAAATTTATTACCAGCACAATATTTAATGCAATTAAGGAACAAAATTCGACCACACATACGTAATAGTATTCCCCAAAGATAGAATACATTCATTTTTGTGAGGCACATTGGTTGTGCATAAGTTGTTTTTAATTTTATCTGCCAATTAAGCCAAAACGGTAAGTCAGTGACCCGTACTATGTTATATAATTAAAATTGCTTTTAAAGGGGCTGCTCGAATTTTAAGAAAATATTTTAAATTTTAGCATTGCCTAAAGAAAAGCATTATTTTCGTAAAACTAATAGATGAACAAAGTGTAAAAAGTTAATGATGGTTTAAACATAACCCGAATTCTGAAGATGATTAGCAATAAATTCAAAACGGTGCGTCGCAGACCCATACTCATATATACATATTTCAATTTGTCTTTGAAATGATCACTAAAAAATGCAATAAAATGTAACTTTGTATTTAAAAAAGTTAAAGGTCATTTTAATAGAAACAAGATTGGTAATTCTTTTGTAAGCCCCCTAGCTTTCGAAATAAGGTATACGTAGCTCTTAAACGGGCCAGCCTGTACCATCATCGGTTGTTGATGATTGGAATTTGCCAATCATCCTGCTGGCTTCTTCAGTGCCTAATTGAAAACTGGTTTAACTCCGTACCTACTGAACTGAGCTGGAGAAAATCTAACTCAATACTGATGCCGGTGCTTACGACTCAAACTCCAGCTTCAACTTCAGTCAGTCAAGTCTGGTCTTTCGATAGTTGTGTTTATTTTCCAAGTCATTTATGAGCGTTAGGTGAGAGACACGCAAAAACATTATATAACGTATGTATAAACATAAACTCCTATAACATTGTCTGAATCTACATTTGGGTTCCTACTGAGAGTTGAGAGAGAGAGAGAGAGAGAGAGAGAGAGAGAGAGAGAGAGAGAGAGAGAGAGAGACTATTCGCTTACAATCGTGTGGATTATCAATGCAATCAACAGATCAGGAAACAGTCTGGCCAACTCGCGTAGCTCCTTGCTAGTTGAGTCGTCGTCGTCGTCGTCGTCGTGGAAAACGAAACGGCGTCGCGCCTCCACCTTCCACGAAGGCGACGGGAGAGACGAGTCACCCGCGCCGAAATGGCGGAGGCGTCGGGGTTACAGCTTCCACGAGATAAGTGCCACCATAACGGAGGACAGTCGCGTTGGCGCAGATGAAAATGCCCTGCCGCTGCCGCTGCCCTGTACGTGTCCATATTTCGGCAACGCTGAAAAGAGAGACGACGACCGGAAGATGGCGCTGTCGGTCGCCAAGCCGACGTCACCGGCGGCGCTGCTGTCGCCCGGCAAAAGCAGCAACGACACGTCGCCTAGCAACGTCGTAGTGACGTGGGAATCGAACAAGAGTCACAGGAGAGGTCGGTGTATAGTATAGAAGACAACTTTTTCGGTGGAGCATACATTCGAAGCTGTAGTGTTGAATTTTTTCTCTTTAACAAAACATAAGCGGAAACTTCCATTTTACGATCTTACAATCTCATGTTTTTGTTAAGCTCATGTCAGTTTCATGAAATTACTGTTACGATTCAATATTTTGCCAAACACTGCGTATACTAATTGAGTAAGTTTAAAGATTAAGGCTCACGTAGCGAATTAACGGAACGCTGAAATAAAACATCCCTGTTTGCTACAGTTTGTTAGTTACTGCGAAAAATGACAATTTTCATTGGAACTTGCCGTCCAGTTTTCCAGTAAACAGTAGGATCTACCGTTACCGTTTCGCGAAAGTGGATTTCATCGATTTCCATGAAGGTGACACCTTAGTAAGACGTTTACAGATTTCTCTTAATTCTCTTGTTTAAAGAGTCGTTAAACTATCGCAACCTGAATCACTAAGCCCAACCCAAACTTTTCTCTTCTTCCTTACATTAAAACATATCAAAATCAATAAAACCAGATTCACCACTAGTTCAAAAATCTCTCAACATCGTCAAAGACGAAATTCCATTTGAGTTACGAGGAATTTGTCCATTGGACACTGAAAGAAACTGATTAAAGAAAACTCCAAGAATCCATGGAAATCTTAGCACAATTATCCAATCTTTAAGTCCACGTGAGACTATCTATCTCACCATCAGTATCCAGGTACATGAGTGTCTTTTAGGGTTCTTTTAGCAGTAATCTTCCAGACTGTTCGTGGAGAGATGCACGTTGAAATTCACATCTGTTCATATAAGAAGTATTTTCAATGGGGCACTATCGAAAATTTTAATACACACTACGAGTGATTTTCGGTTTCGCTTTCTCAGGTACGAGTTTCGGCAACACAAGGAACACCCTGCTGAGCGTCTCGCCGTCCAGCACCACCCAAAGGACACCGCTCTTACGTAGATCCGCGACGTTGCGTCATAACGGACAGGATGCGACCTTGACCGACCGCAACAAGAACCCGTCGTCTCCGTGCCTCCTTCAGAGGTACAACTTCACGACGGGCACGGGCAATATCACGCGTAGCATCAGGTCTCACCATTCCCGCAACTCGAGCATCCTGTCCAGGAACTCCTCCAGACACGGCCGTATTATCAAGCTGGAGCAGAAGGCGACCAAGGTGCTGGGCGTGGTGTTTTTCACTTTCGTCATCCTGTGGGCGCCGTTTTTCATCCTGAACCTACTGCCCGCGTTCTGTCTCGAGTGCGAGAAAAACCTCGGCGCCTGGGTAATGCACTTGGTCACTTGGCTGGGCTACGGCAGTTCCATGGTGAACCCCATCTTCTACACGATCTTCAACAAGGTGTTCCGGAACGCGTTCAAGAAGGTGCTGACGTGCCGGTACAGGAAGACGGCCTGGAGACCGCAGAGATGACACCCGCGGGTCAAAAGACATCAGAAGACTGAGTTATGAATCGGGTAACCCTGGGTAACGTATTTGTTTGGTTTGGGTCCGTTGTTGAACAACAGAACTCGCTGGCGTTTCGCCAATCACTAAAATTATCTCAACCCAGAATTAGAACACCCGACATTTGCCTCTCTAAAATCCAACAACATTGATAAAAAAGATCTCCGTACAATCATACTACCCCTATTCCATGAAAAAATAGTTAGAGGAGCATTTGAAGAAACACAAGGAATTAAAATAAATGTAAGTCATAAGATGTGCGGATGACTATCTCACAACTTAATGGAATAACTATAGTAAGCATCAGGCACCATTACGAAGGTCTCGGTCTGCATAGAAATACCTCCAACACCAAACTTTTTTCCAATTGGGATTTAGTCGAAATATATAAGCGCATATAAACAATATCTTGGAGCCGAAAAGTATCACATGTTCCTGACATTTTAAATAAGAGAAGGGAGCTACTGTTCAATGTTAACGGAAAGCTTCACATTAGGAACATATCATTAGAGACCCTAGGTTCAAGACGATGGGTCACATTGCATCTGCTGGCATTTCCAGAATTGCAGCATCCAAGCAATCAGAAGTTGTTCCAGAGACCTGCAATTAAACAATTTTCGACTCCACCCCCTTCAAACAGTACATATGCAGGTACAAAGCAGAATTCGACCCACTTAAAGTTAAGCTCTGAAGAAGCCAATAATATGATTGGCGAAACGTCCGCAAAGGGGGATATTTGTAAACTGTGCCTGTTTCTTTGACAAATTGACTTTAAATTTATCTTTTTTTTTTTCAGAACGTCACATTCCGGGTCTGACTGAAGCGGGCCGTCTTGAGTAAACCAATCTTGAGCTAACTAGAGCCTTCGACATTCCGATACTTTGTAGCGTCTCCCTCTGACGTTATATCGAAGAAATACGCTGCATCTCATTATAGATGAGGTACAAGCGGCTCCAGCCAATGAGATTTACACCTCGAAACGTAATGTTGGCTGCATAACCACTTTTAGAGGTTAACGTCACTGGCTACTACTGTTTAGACTAACTAGGAGATGGTATTTAGAAGACTTTTAGATACTTATATTTTTTATGTTCCTCTAGATATTTTTGCATATCACTTTTTTAATACAAGAATCTGTTTCTATAATAAATTCCTTGAGAACGTCGGCGTTTCATTTCGCGACCCCCTTCGCAGCGTGACGTCATCAATTTTATTTATCAATATCAATAGTGGATCTTCCTTTAAGCATGGACTATTTAGTTCTTAAAAACATGAAATATTTGGTCCTGTAGCAGAGATTCTAAAACTTTACAGATATGTCAATGTCAAACTCCAGAGCAGTAGAGTTTTCCGAGCCTTGGAATTGTCCATTTTCAAATAGCCACACAAATGAAATTTCGCTACGAATTCAGGTTCCTAGGCCAATATCAAACTCCTGATCAGTAGAGTTTTCCAATCAGCCTTGGAATATTATGAGATTTGCGATCTACAGGCTCTTTTGTGTACGGGAATAATTTTAGACATTTTCCGCATACCTGGAACGGCTTGGTTTCTCAGACACAAAATAAAGTACAAGCGGTTTGGCCAGAACAGAGCGAGAGTCATGTATAAGGAATGTTGGAATTAAATCTGGATCCATTAAGAATTTATGTTTACTTTAAGAGCTTTTTCCGCCTCAGATTCAAGTACACCTGTTTTTTTTTTAATAATCGAACAAACTTATTTAGGATCTTTGTTAATGTCATATTCAATACTTTTTACAAAACTTCTGGATTCCTCCTGCGTCGGTTTTTGTTGAGTCGAACTTCCTAATGTTTCGTTGCCTTCGTCAGAGCTTGACTGAAACCGCTCAGTCAGTCAAGCTCTGAAAAAGCCAGCAGGATGATTGGCGAAACGTTATTAAGTTCGACTCAACAAGGAGGAATCCGGAGGTTTTGTAAAAAGTATTACAGTAGCCTGTGGAAGTATCTTTGGGAAAAAAAAAGTTATTAAAAGATTTTATTTTTCACCTAAGGCATTAAAAATATTGACTACCAGTACATCTGAGCCTATTGCATATTATATTTCAATTAAACCGGGGGGATACTTATTATTACTATATACTTTCCAAAACGAAGAACACATACGTTAATACATTCATACAGATTTTCATAAAACAAGGAGCAGGCGGACTCAACGTCCGATTCATAGAAAAGAAATGGCCAGCCGAAGTTTAAAAACGTATCGTACATGAGCATTATTATTATTATCATAAAGTGACTAAATGTAAACAGGATTGTATCTCCGCGATATCGGCGTCAAAGATTAGGCAATATCGACTTGTGAACCAAGCTGACCACAGCAAAGGAACCGATTGTCAGTAATAAACAAATTTACGCGCATTATGCGGCCATTTTTCGAATCTTTTTCGAAAATTACGAGGCGATTCTTTGCGACGGACCCCGGCCTCAGGGTCGGCATCCTTGGGGTGCCCTTCGACAAGGGTCAGCCGAAGGCAGGTGTCGCCGACGGACCAGACGTCATCAGAAAACTGGGCTTGATCGACAGGCTCAGGGACAGCTTGGAGGAAAGCGGTGAGTCATTACCGAGAGGGAGTGGGGGATTCGTTTTTATATCGTCTAAAAGACAGTGCGTCGAAAGACTATTGCTGCCAGTGGCGTCCTTGCGCGATTTTCTCGTGAGACGCAATAAAAGAATATTTGGAAAAATCGACCTAAATAATTTTGGATCTTTTTTCTTGGAGAAGGATTTTTAAATTCGTTCTGTTCCGCTTCTCGCCTGATTTTAATTTCATTGTATTTCTTTTTTTTTTAAGTACGTGAAATTCGGGGCAGGATATGGTAAATATTTTATATATCAGGAAAAACTAAATTAAAAGAGAATATACAAACACAAGTGTCGTCAACATAGTGGCGATAAAACTAACATCACTAGAAAACGGAAATTTAATCAAAAATCGCACAAATTTTTATTGAAAATCATTTCCCTGAAAATAACGTTAATAAAATTTTAAAATATCAATTAAACAAAAAATTCAATATCAAAAATATTTAAAACGTATTATTTTTAAATACAATATCATAGTTCGCCACAAACCTTACGAATTTAGAGCATCAATTTTAAACGCATTGAAAGCTAAAATTTCAGCTAAAAGATATCAAATAAACAAGTCCACTTTTATAAAATCGTATACATAAATATAAATATACTGCTTCAATCGAATATGAAAATTTAACAAACCAAGAATACAATTTGAAAAATATATATATTTTTAATAATAAAATAAAAAACAGCCGTTCCCTATTTCTAGACCCGCAGCCACAGACAGAAAAATGAAAAAAAAATCATCTGTTGTCGGGGCTCCGCAAGATACCAGAGAGTGAATTTGGCAAGAGATTTAAAAAAATTGGAATATTTCACATTATTCTCCAGTCATTATAAATGATCTAACATCGTGCACCTACAACGATAACGAGGGCCCAAGAACAGAAGAACGAATAAAGATCAAAAATTTTTTATTCTATAATTTACTTTTTAGAAACAAACACTTCCGAAAATAACTATCGCAAACTACAACACTTATTTTGAAATTATACATCCCGTATCCTACTACGTTACAGGCGGTCAAGTCAACATTAGGGACTACGGCAACGTAGCTTACGACGTGGCGGCCGATTTGGAAACCAATAACGTGCCGAACATGAAAGGTTACGCGCACGTAGCCGCCTGCAACCGCGAGATTTCGAAAAACGTGTCGGACATCATCAGGGATGGCCGGATCTGCATCACGCTGGGCGGCGATCACTCGTTAGGTATATTTCGCGACATTAAACCCCAACTAACGCGTTGATGTTACGTCTGAAGGTAAACTTCTTCTTTATTGCGTCCTCCGATTGGGCCGGTCAATCGGTGACATTTGCCCGCCACAGATAATAGAAAATAACACACCCAGAGTAAACAAATGGAACCGGGTACACTTTAGTCACAGATAATAAACGTAGTAAAAGGAATAGCGTTATTTGGATTTGGATAGTTAAGTAAGTAGTACCGATTGCTTTTCTCTGTGGTACAGGTATAGGCACGGTCGACGGCCATCTTAAGGCGATGAACGAGAACGTCTGCGTGTTGTGGGTGGACGCGCATGCGGATTTGAACACCAACAAAACATCGGGCTCAGGAAACGTGCACGGGATGCCGATGGCAATCCTCGCTAAAGAGCTTTGCGACTACTGGCCTTACCTGCCCGGTATGGACTGGCAGAAACCGGTACTGTCGCTCAGGAACGTCGCGTACGTAGGTCTGAGATCGGTTGATTCTTACGAGAGGCTCATCATTGAAAAACTTGGTAAAAAGTTACTGCATTCTGTCTTAATGCGCGAGACATAAATATTAGCGGCTGTAGTTTGACAGGGCACAGATGTGGCTGACTCTTGTGATTATATAAACCTTTTAATTTTTCTTGAATACCTAACAAACACTTGTTTATCTACCGACTATTTAATAATGATAAAGTACTAATATAATGTAACTCGTATTCCACACCACTATAAAATGAAATTCATTATCCACATCAAAAGCTACCAACCCGAGGTGATATAGAATTATTATGTCATAATATTTTTTTAAAAAATGCATCTTCAAAAATACCTTGTAACTTTTTTTTTAGAACTATTAGTCACGTAAACAAATCTGATAGACTTTAAATTCAGTTTTGGTTGTAACTTGAACTTCGATTTTTTAAGACACGGCCCTGGATTTCTTTATTTCGGATTTTAGGGACTAAAGTAGAGTATGGTCCAAAAAAAACGAAACGTTGTGGAAGTTTTCCACGTTTGTGGCGGAAAAGATATTAGAGTATCCAATTAAAACAACTACTTTAAATTTTCATTTATTTCATTTATTCACAGAAATAAATATCAAACCTTCACTCCTCGAAGACAAACAGGAAAATCAATAATTAAATATTAGGATCGGGCACAAATGTATGACATCCGCGTAGAGAAGCAGCTGTTATATTCCATTTATTCATCATTTTCTTATTATGAGAATTGAGAATCCGACATAATTGTCGCTATTTTCATAAAATCGTGATGCAATAAAAAACGGGAAACAACTAAGTATTATACTAACTAAAACAGAAAACAGAACATTTAGACACTACAATAATTCAAATTCAAATGAATCTGAATCGGTCGTTCGTACTATTGGGATTCAGTGACTATTACCGCTTACGGTTTATACCTTGCATATGGCAACATAAATTTTTGATGACTCAAAAGATTCGGTTCTCGTAAAATGAACGATTGACGCAACACTAATCTTCAATTCAATGCTTTTCACAATTTCTGTTGGACACGACTGCTGTGATCAACACTAATCTTAATATAATTCTTCCTCTTCGCTTCTAGTGGGCAATTCACGATGGATACTCGCCCATCGCAACCCGACCTGCCGGAGGTTGTGGGTTCGATTCCCACCGGGTGCCTTGGGTGTTGTTTATAAGTTTTTATTTACTTGATCTTAAAATAATTAATATCTCAGTCATCTACCAATCTCTATAATTATTATTATTATAACCGAACCTTGCAATATAACTTATAAATTGTCCATCATGGCATTAACAAAGAGACCGTAAATTATTTGTTCAAAACATCAATGAGATCGGGGTTAATAATGGCAAATTTCGATGAAATCCGAACAGGCCTCTTAAATTATCCGCGCGCAAAGTAATCACTCGACGTCGAACTCGGAAGCTACCTAATTGATATCAGATTTCGGGGCCTTAGCGGTCCGAGGAATAGGATGTCAAATAAATTGGAGACGCTCTTGAATTAATAGCCGACCGAACCAAAGAGCTGCGCGAGGCAAATGTTTCAAGTGGACGGTCGCCAATAACGAGATGGATAAAAAGTGGTTTGTCGCTTTTTCGGCAAACCGCTGTACACTGATCAATCAAGTTATAAATACGTGACGTAGGCAATTGCTTGTGCGTGGAATGGAAACGTCGCAAATTGTTAACGGTGCTGCTCGTATTTGGATAGAAATTGTGCTGTCAAATCGTTCGTAACGCGGGCCACAAAAGGAAGCCCGGAATAAACAAGTTGGTCAGGGAATATGTCAAATTAAAGCAAAAAAAAAGTCGATCGCCATAAAATAACAAGTGAAAATGTTAGGTTAAAACATTTAAGTTTACTGTTTAAGTTGTTGGAACATCCTTAATAATAAAAGTGGTGTTTTTTGGCAACTTCAGTAGTTTGTGAAGTGAATTGAATTAAAGAACCACAAAAACTTAACTACTTAATAGTATAAACAACAAAATTTCAAACAATCACCATAATTTTATTATTTATATGATTTTGTCTTCTTTGAACTTTAGATTTTCGCGGCGAATTAGTTTGTACTTATAATTTTCTTATCTTAATTATTGTTTAATCAGCGAAAGGCCCATAATAACTTTATTTCTCACAGCTAGTCTTCAATATTTTCAATAAATAGTAAATCACGTTGGTTTCCGTGTTATGTGGCTGCAACGCAAGGTTATTCGTATGTGATTTGCGGTTTACCGCATTCTTTCAGAGTTTGTAAGGTTTATTAATAGATGGCGCGCCTTAACTTAAGAATTATTCTCGGTCCCAACGAATATATTCCACAAATCATTTTCATTGTAATAATTTAAACCGTAAAGCGCGTTCCACTTAACAAAACTTTTAAGCTACTAAATCTCTAATCGCTAATCAAGAATCGTTCCCAGTGTTTGTTCGGTATTAACTTTGAATTATTGAAATAACATGTTAAGGAATTAACGCGTTCGGCATGGAAGATGTCGAGAACTTCGGGATAACCAACGTGGTCGACATGGCACTGAAAAGGATCGATCCGGATTCGTCGAGGTCGATACATGTCAGTTTCGATATCGATTCGTTGGACTCTCTCGAAGCGCCGAGCACGGGAACGTCGGGTGAGTGCACCGAATGTCCGCTCTCGCTCGGGCGATCTCAAATCGTGAGATTTTAGTGCGGGGCGGTTTGACCCTACGCGAAGGCATCCAGCTCATGGAAATGGTGCACAGGACCGGTCGATTAAACGGCGTCGATTTGGTCGAGGTAAATCCGAACATCGGCAGCGAGCTCGACGTCGGCCGCACCGTCGAAGCCGCGATTCACGTCATCATGGCGTCCTTAGGGTACTCGAGGAAGGGGGCCCTGCGAAGACGCGCCGACACGCTCCCCCTGCAAACGTTTCCGCCTTCGCAACAAATAATTTTGTAAACGTCCGTAAATAAAAATTGTCTTGTTTGTTGTTTTAACTAAACGCGTAGGTAAAAAAGTTTAGTTAGCGCGTGCGTCGAAGTTTAGGAGGGACACTCGTCCATTGGCGATATCCGTCGGTAGTAGTTCTTCAATCATCCAACATGATTTCATATACTTTGCGCCCATATACAGGGACCCTTATGTCTTCAGAACGTTCATTTGACTCTCAATGACCTGATGCCTCTTAATAGAAACCGATTGCGTGAGCTTAACCAAAGAGTATAAGATAGAAGGGAAGGTCGCGTATACTGTTACGAATGCCATCTAGTGTTTGCGTCCAAGGACTAGAATACTGTCATGGCTGCTTAAAGTAATTCGTCACACTGAAAATACCACAGTAGCTTGTAACTTTATTTATATTTTAATAAAAAAAAGTTAAAACTATTTCAACAATTTTTTTTCACATTTTACCTTTCAAACTTTATACTGAATTGAACCGTACGTCCCACGCACCTTCCGTTTCATGACTGGACACATTAATTTGGAAATAATGCCTGTGTATTTTTGGTAAGTTAATTGCGATCTGTGGTGTGTATTTTTGTAAACCAATTGCGATCTATCGAACGATCCGAGCGCAGCTTTTGCAGTAAACCGTCAAGTGGTTTGTTTTCTACCGATTAGAGTGGTTCTATCTCGAATTCTATTATTTCCTCTGACGCAGAGTACCACTGCTTAATTAACCATTGAATTGTTACATGAAATTTGCTCCATGTGCTCAGTGAGGTCACTGCGGAAATAGGCTTCTGACAGTGTCGGTAAACGACAAAACCGACCACAGTTATCTGTGATGAGATATTTTTAATGTCAGATGCGTACGCTGATATGATTAATGAGCGAACTGACTTGAATTAATTGTATTTCAAGAGACACACGACACTAAAAATTTTATATGGGAACAGACATATTCTAAATTTAAAAAAAAAGGAAACAATTATGTGAGTGACTTGTTCCCTCACATTTCAATTACTGTGAGTCCAGACGCCGTATGCAGAGGTTGCAAAGTGTTCGTGTACGTTTTATTATGTGTCTGCTGGTTGCCATCAACCTAACTGGTTTAAAATGGAACGAAGAGCTCTACATTTCATTTATACATATATTTCTAGAAGTGCCATTGATAATGTAAAAGTAAGGTACAGAAACAAAGTAAGGATACAGCAACAGACTGCCTTGTCTCAGAGATCCTCTACACAAATTTTAATGCACGTAAAAAAATATTCAAACATCTGCTTGATGTCGCTTTTTCAAATTCTTTATCTTCATTTCTTTTCTTTTTCTCTCCCGATTTTACATCTTTTTAATAATAAAATCTAAAAAAACAAATATACATGAAAAATGGGACGAAATATTTTCTTTGTGTAACGGGGTGGGGGGGTCTGTCCATCGCAGGTAGCGTTGAAAACAACGCCAAAGGGGTGCAAAAAGTCACTAGTTTTAAGTGACTAGTTCGTTTCAGTTTGGTAGTAGACATGTTGCGTGAAAAATACACGCGTTAAAGATATTTAAACAACTACTCAAAAATATATCACCTTTATTGTTTACAAAATATATTCCTAACAAGTATCATAAAACCCGAATACCGTAAACTAAATGTGTAAGGAATGTTATCCAAACCTGTGCCTGACGTTATTCATATAAATAATCGATTTTATCTTAGAATGTTGGCGCCCAAATAAATCTCGGCAAAGACTAGAACCATCTTTTTCTTTTTTAACAACATACTTAACAATCTCCAGAACAAAAATAACGCAAAGCTTTACTGTCAACTTCCGGGTACAGACCGGAGAATTGTTGACGTCTTATGCAAACGCACGTGGTCTGTGACGAATCCGCCCCCTACCATAAATGTAGCGAAATGTCAAATCCAAACACGATTACATAACCAAGTTTTTCGTGCGAGAAACGAACCCAAAGAAACAACAATAAGAAGAAAATAACCAAGTTATTTAGTTACGCGCGGAATTATCGGAAAGAATTAGTTAATCGAATATTTAAAAGGCGAGGTTTTAATGTTGTTTATCACTTTCGCCGTAATTAAGTGAAAGGTTTCCCTGATTGCCTTCGGTACGGGTATGAGTTTGTAGACGAAGTAGCCACCCAAACCAAGCATCGTCAGGCGGAAGGAGTAGCGCAAAATTCTCGAAATCAGAGTCGGCGGGGGCACGACCATAATCCCCTTTAGGAAATTTTTCTGGCTGTGGGGCCACAGCCTAATGATGCCGGGGGTGTGACCTATCCCGACCACCCCGACAACTTTCAGGGGTTCCGCACCTCCCTCCGGATGTTTGCTGACGGCCGCCTCCTGCAGCGCGTTAGTCAAATAGATATCCCGCTCGTCTAAGAACACTTCTCGAAACGCGGGATACTCGCCTGCCAAATCGGCGAGTAGCTGCTCGAGCATGTCCCGATTTTTACATTTTTCGATTTCCTCGACGCTAGAATTCCATTAGCGGCGATCAAGTGGCGCGCGTGAGGTTAGAGACACTGGTGTTTGCACCGATAAGGTTTTTTGAAAACACCAAAAATTTGTTACAAAATAACGAAATTTGAAGGGGTTATTGGGAGAGTGTTAAAGGCTACGCCTCGAGAACGGAACCTCGTAGCCACCGTCAAAACCATCAAAAACGCGTTTTTAAGATTAAGATAAAAAGAAGGTGAATTTTTAACAAAATCAAAAATTTATGTAAAAATTGATCTAACAGCATTAACTAGGAGATGACCTATCGATGAGTTTTAGAAAGCTTCTTTCAAAAGCCGAACCCAATAGCTGCCGTCTAGCTATCATAAAGAGGTTTTTAAAATTAAGAGAAGCAGAAGATAATTTTTTAAAAACTAGATATGTGAAAAATTATATTCCGCGATAAAATTTTGAAAAAATATTGCCAAAGGTCTTAAAAAACTCCTTTTGAAAGCAGTGCCCACTAGCTATCCCACCATCTAAGCTACCAAACGCGCATTTTTTGATTTAAGGCAAAAAAGATAAATTTTGAAAAAATCAAAAATATATGTAAAAATTGACAGGATATTGTGAAGGAAATACGATTTTAGAATTAAAGAGAAAAATTGATGTTCCATAATAAAATTTAGAAAAAATATTGCGAAGGGTCTTAAAAAAGTTCCTTTGAAAGCCCAGCCCACTCCTGTTATCTAAGATAACAAAAACGCATTTTTTAATTAAGGGAAAAAAAGATAAATAAAAAAAATCAAAAATATACGTAAAAATTGAGAGAACATTGCGAACGGTCTTAGAAAGCTCTTTTCAAAAGCGGAAGTTAATAGTAGCCGCTTAGCTACCATAAATACATTTTTAGAGTTAAGACGAATTTTAAAAAAATTTTAAATATACATAAAAATTGATGTTCTGTGATAAAATTTTGAGGGAACATTGCAAAGAGTGTTAGAAAACTCAATTTGAAAGCGGAGCCTAATAGCTTCCATCTAACAAATCATAAACATATTTTTTGAATTAAGAAAAGAGAGAAAGTGGCTGGGCGTCTTTTAAAGCTCTCATAAACGCGTTTTTAGAAATTAAGAGAAAGAGAAAAAGAATTTTTCAAAAATATAGTAAAAATTGATGTTCCACAAAAAAATTTTGAGGCGCCGGATCGTTTTAGAAAACTCCTTTCAAAAGCTCCCTTTTCTTTTAAAATTGAAAGTAAACAATTTATTTTTAATAAAAAATATATGTAAAAAAAGATTTCACAGATATTTTTCTTAAGAGAGTAGAAAGGCGTTTGCTACATATTTAAAACACTTTTTGTTTTCCCAGAAAAAAGTCAAAAACGGATAGTAGTATGACTTTATTTAATAAATATACTGATAAATAAATTAATTGAACTGCTGCTAATATGCTTGACCTTTGCCTCAAAAATAATTGCCATAAACATTCAGGGTGATAAATTTTATTTTTTCTTTCCATAATAATAATCCTTAATTGCACTTATCTTTAACAATTTTTTAAATGTCCTCCTCCAAATTTTATAACACCAGTTTTTACATTTATTTTTTTTTTTATTTGAATTCACTCTTTCTCTGAATTCTACATGGGTGCAATGTCCCTAATTCATCCCTAACCTCACACACATTATAAAATAATGGGAAAAACCTTACCTTATGGGGTCTTTCGACGTCAGCAGGTGCCAGGCAAGCTTAAAAGTCTGAAACCAACTCAATCTTGCTAAAGCCCTGCGGATCGTTATGCTAATAGGCCTATCTCCCAAACGGATAATGCAATGGGGTAGTTTGGACGCCTACAATAGTGTTTAGCAATTATTCCTATGTACCTTTGCCACGTCTACCTTTACTTCTCTGTACGCGACCCGAAACTCGCCCCCGGGAGCCATGCCAATCTCTTTTGTAATGTGACTACTCATGTTAAGAAGAAGAATGTACATGAGGCCGTTATATATGCCGTTGGACTTGATGGTGGACACAATTTTTTGCATGTCCATTTTTTTCGCCTCTTCCAATATCGTTTTCTCGTCCAGTTCGAGAATGTTCGTTCGCGATCGGCAGAGCTCTAACACGACACAGTGGGGCTGGACGTGCCTGATCACCTAAAAACCACGGTAGTGTATATCTAACCCCATGTCTATCCTTTCACAAACTTTCTCGACATCGTCTTGCGATTCTTTGCTAAAATGGGCGGTGCCTATAAGATAGAGCTTGGTCCCCGTAGCTTCGTGTTTCAGTAGCGTAACTGTGCTGGGCAAGTTACTGTCGAAATCATCTTCCAGCTTGCTACCGCTGCCGGACGATTCCGCGTCGTAATCGCCTAAAATTTCGATGGGGTCGCTCTTGTCCGAGCTACTTTCGGAGTCTATCTTCACGGTACTTTCGGAAAGTTCTAAAATTATGTCGAAATTAAAGCGAAACTGCAGGCGAACCTTTTAACCAACCGAAGTTTGTTAAAGAATGGTCCATTTCGATTGTAAGAGCCAACGGACGACTTGAATCTGTTGCAAAACAATAATATAAATTTTAATAATTATTATAAAAAAAAAATACTACGAACGAAAATAAACTCTGGTGCGGTCGTATCTAACTTTGTATGGGATACAAAGAAAAGAAGAAGAAACCAACTCGGATCTTTAAAGTACCTTGGATTCTGTCGGTGTCATTGTACATGGCGGTTTAACATCCGTTCGCTCCTGACAGAATCCGTTGTAATCGTCCAAATTTTTGATATTGGCTTCCAAAGTGGAGTGTTTTTTTTTTACCGAGTGTTTTGTGATTGTTTTAAAGTTAGAATCGTTGTCGGCCCCGCTGTTTTTTCTCGTCCACGCCGGTATAGAGGCCGCATTGGCCTGGATGGTCCGGCGGGTAGCGGGGCAGGCCTTTTTTTGTAATCGGTTTAAGATTTTTGAGAGAAGTTAATCGTTTTTGTATATGTTAATCAACCTGGCTGATGATGGATTGGCCCAGACCCTTCTTTTAGGAATGCATTCTTCAGAATTTTTGTATTCAGCTGGCCGAATGACCTATTGTGGTTGTGGCTATTATAAGTAAATCCTATTCATCCAATCCGTTCCACGACCACAGATGCGCGACAATCTGTTTTGCAAGACGGACTGGCAGCAATTGAAAAACGAATTAATGAATTTGTTTCCTATATAACCATAGACAGGAAACAACCGTATAACAAATGATATTTCGTTGGCTTTAGCTTCGAAACGGAATCTGAAATGCACGGAATGTTCATAGGTCATAGACACCCAAATTGTGAGTTGACGCAACCACGTTTTTTTTATTGTAAATTCATCCTATGTTGCCAAATATTAAATTATAATTTTTTAGATCGTGTTTCGTCTTTCCATTCATTTTCTTTTGAATTTCCCCAGTTTATAATTTTGGGAATTTCTGCTTATATATAGTCTGGTGTAGTATGGTGTACGTAAAATAAACACATTTTTTTGGCATATAATATAGCTGTTACTTATACATTGTTACAATAATAAAATAAAACACTACCACTAAAAACCCGTTAACACCTTTGAAAATTTGATTTCATTTTTGAACCATTCCGTTCCGTTCGAATCATGTAAATTGAAATCGTTGCGAGTTTTTTTGGATTTATTTGTATAATGCGAATAATTATGACATTTAAAACGGTCCTACCGTTCAATTATTCTGTGGAGTAAAGCTAACGGGAGACGACATTTATCTATGGCGATCAAAATCCTTGTTTAGAAAGATGGCAGACAATAAATTGTACGATCTTTTAGGAGTATCGAGATCAGCTTCGGATAACGAGATAAAAAAGGTAATCGCGGTTTTTTTTTTCGTTTTCACGGCCACGTTTAGGATTTCGCTCGCTCTGAAAGCTGCATGTTTATTGCGTCATATTTTCGAACTTCGACAATGAAATGTGACTAATTGTTTCCAGCAATACAGGAAATTGGCGAAAGAATTCCACCCGGACAAGAACCCGCAGGCCGGCGACAAATTCAAGGAAATCAGCTATGCGTACGAAGTGCTCTCCGATCCGAAGAAAAGGTCGCTGTACGACAAGGTGGGCCTCAAGGGCATGCAGGAGGGCGCCCAAGAGGGCGGCGACGACTTTTTCTCACACTTGTTCGGCGGCGGTTGGTCCGGGATGGGACCGCACAGGAAACACAGGGGCGAGGACACTGTCCACCCTTTGAAGGTAACCCTGGAGGATCTGTACAATGGCAAGACCTCGAAGCTCCAACTCAGCAAAAACGTCATCTGCGTCACTTGCGGCGGAAAGGGTACCAAAAACGGACAACCCACCGAGAAGTGTCACTCGTGTAATGGCTGCGGAATCAAGGTTAGAACTTTTCTTTCACTGAATTTTTCGGACAGTTCACGTTCGCTTCTGTGTTTAATTTTGCCAGTTATAATGTTGTCATAGAAAAAAAATACGTTAAATTATTTATGAAGGGAATAGGAGTGTAAGATTCAACATATTCTTTTGGGCAATTAGAAGTGGTGACGTTTCGCAGGTAACCTACCGCAGCCTCGGGCCGGGCATGGCCCAACAGATCCAGTCGCAGTGCGGCGAGTGTCGGGGCGAGGGCGAGGTCATCAAGGAAAAGGATCGGTGCCCGGGGTGCCACGGCAAAAAGGTGTGCAATGAGACGAAGATCCTCGAGGTGCATGTCGACAAGGGTATGCGGGACAGCCAAAAGATCTACTTCAGGGGCGAAGGCGACCAGCAGCCAGACGTGAGGGCGGGCGACGTCGTCATCGTCCTGCAGCAGAAGCCCCACGAGAGGTAATAATGTCCTTTAGTTTTCTGTTCAACCAAAAGTAAAAAAGATATGTATACAGGTCGTTATTGAACTGACCTCTCATAATCTACATTGTGAATTTGGGGTACAGCCTGATGTCAAATGAATATTTTCTTTTCTCGAAATCGGGAATTTTTTCATATTTTTAGGGAAGTTTGTGATGTAAGGAAAGGGCTCCAATCCAGTATTGATTGAAATTTTTCGTATCCAATGTGGTAAAGACTTGGCTCTTCTATATGAAACTTTTGGTACTGCCTTTCTGGCTACACCAGGCCGCGACCATTACAAGGAATATTTTTACAGTACATCCCCCGATTAAGGGATTCATCCTGTAAATTCTGTTATTTAATTTAAATAACATCCCAATCACTAAAGGTTTTCGAGTTTATGTAGAGAGTGAAATTTAAATGTTTTTTAGACTAACAGTTTTCGAGACAATATTTTTCACGTGGGTTTCAAAATGTCGCCATTTTTTTGCTATAAATTAATGTGCCACACCATGCATTTTGGACTAAAAACTAACCCTTAAAAAGTATTAACCTGCCACGTTCACAAGCGAAAACAGTTCTCACCCATTTTAAAAAAATATTTTTTTCAATTACAGGTAAATTATATTAAGAAATCATAAATAGGAACCTTGTAACGAAAATAGTTGCATCATGGAAATAAGCGCTTATGTTTTTGTAACTGGTATCTCCAAAAAACCCAATTTCGGTTGCAATGTTGTATTTTTTATTTATTTATTTATTTGTTTAATCAAATTCACAACCATATTGGCACCGAAAAAGATATATATGTTTCGTCGAAAAAGATCTATAAATAAGTTTAGTACAGAAATAATACATAGCAAAACAAAATATAAAAATTTAAAAATATAAAACACCTCCAAGGAGAATATTTTAATAACTCACGAGTTATATATTCAGTGGACTATTATTTACATCATTGTGCCCTGTGATATACCCGTTTTACCTACACGCTACTTTTAGAGTCACTTTATGCGAGGATAGGCGGAATAACCAGCGCACCCTATATATTTGTGAAAATCGCCAAAAATAGCATTACAGCATTGGATCTTTGAAATCTTTCCATTAAACAATTATCTTATCGCTGATTGCAAATACGGTTTTTAATTTGTTTGAAATACTTAACGACCCACCGGGTCCCACAGTTTCAATAGGTCTACATTACTCTAAATTTCAACTCGATCGTTTGAAATTTGGAACATGTACTTTGTTTTATAAAAATGTTCAGAAAACGAAAAATAAATATGGCGGACGAGTTTGAAAATTTGAACCGCCTAGTTTAAACCGTTCGGTAGTTATTTCCGTTTTTATGCTGCGTCTACAGAAAACAGACATAAAAAACTGTGTGTTCTCTGTAGACGCGGCATTCGAACAGTTTGACCTACGACCTTCACATTTGGTTCCTTTTAAGCAGTCCACGAGACAAATAAGCCAATAAAAAAAGGACGGATCGAACCCCCTAGGTCGATGTATATATTTTTTAATTGTCGGTTGTTCTTTCGGACATCGTTAGAAGTGTCCGAAATTTGAAGCTATCGACTTGAAATTTATAGTCGGGAGTGTTTTGAAAAAATTAAAAACCGCACTTGCGGTGGTCCAAGAAAATAACTCGAAAACGGTTGTTACGATTGCAGTGTGGAGTTAATACGTATATAATAAAAGGGAACATAATCTCTTTATTTCTTAAATTTAGATAGGTTAAAATCTAAGGATTTTACAACTTTACTCTGTCGAATAGAACCCCTATCTGAGGTTACAAAAATACTCCCTATAAAAGAAAAGAACTGACTCTTTTCGTCAAATTCAAACCTAGATCGTTCTCATCACTGAAGAACTGCTTCTTCCCTGCATAATCAGATTGGAACCGCTCATCTGCTAATATCATCTGCAAATAATGATCATTTGTCCAATACATGGACTATTTTTAATGTCATTGTGAATTGAACTTTGACACTCGGCCTTCTGGTCGTTTAAATTCTCAAACGTCGAGACTTTTTGCGCGATTAACGCGTCGCCCGGTATAGGTTCGAGCGGAATGGCAACAACCTATACGTGAAGCACACGATCTCGCTGACGGACGCGTTGTGCGGCTTCAATTTTGTCATCACGCACCTCGACAAGCGCAAGCTGCTCATACGTCATCCCGCCGGCGAGGTGATCAAACCCGGTGACGTCAAGACAGTCGCGGGGGAGGGAATGCCGATCCATAAGAACCCCTTCGAGAAGGGGAACCTCTACGTTACGTTCAACGTCAAGTTTCCCGAGAAGCACTTCGCCCCCGAACCCGTACTCAGAAAATTGGAAGCGCTGTTGCCGGCTCGACCCGTTTTTACTATGCCCGAGGGAGAACACGTGGAGGAGGCGGACTTGGTCGACTATGATCCCAACGAGCGGGATCACCACGGCCGCCATAGGGGCGAGGCGTATGCGAGCGACGACGACGAACACGCGGGCATGCAGGGCATGCAGTGCGTTCACCAGTAGGGTGGCGGGGCGCCGAAGGAGGAGCCTTCTTTCTAAACGAGGATGGGACGATCCCCGTCAACGCTGAGTGTACGTTTTCTTTTTTCTAGTTTTTAATCCTTGGAAATGTGTAAAAAATAAAATACGTTGGAAAATTGAGCGTTTTGCATTCGGGGAGGGGGGCAGAGGTTCCTTGTCGAATGTCATATTTGAGAGGGAGACGAAAATTTTAGTCTTTGGCACCGCCTAATCCGTCAATTGAATCATCGTGTTGCATTTTTCCGTTTTTTGCGAATGACGCGAAATGCGTCACATATACGGTTTTTATTTTTTTTAAATGCTGACGGACCCACAGGCTCTCCAGTTTCAATAGGTTCCGTCGAGGAGTCGCACTCTATAAGCGTGCCAAATTTCAAGCCGATCTAAACTGTAGAATCGAAAAGCCAGTTATTAAAAAACAATGAAAATTCTCTTCTGTTACTTCGGCAAAATTCTTAAATGCGGGAGATCCGTTATTTGTTCTATTATATACAGGGTTTTTCAACTATATACAAAAATTTCGGGAGTCAATAATTAGTAAATCAAAAATCAGGAAAAATATGATTATCGGCTTAAATAGTACCTTACAGTTCCCAAGCTGCCCGAGATATTTGAAAAAATCGATGTGAAAATCGGTACTTCTCGACGCTGTAACATCATTTACTCTTACGTACTGTATGGAAAATAATTGATCGAAAACCATTCATGGACCAGGAAACAACAGGTCAACCTTTACTTTGGCCGCATTGTCGAATGTCAATCGCTTCCCTTGATAATTGACACTTAGTTTCGCTACTCGTGGATAGATGGCAGTAAAGTTTCGATTTTTTCGTTATGGCGTCATACGTTACTGTTTCCGGCGCTTATCTGTTCTAAAATCTTTTGGAATCGTCCAACATCAAATAATTTAGTAGTTTGAGAAAATGTAACGTAAAAAGATATCAAGATGCAATTTTCGCAGTTTTTAAAATTTTAGAAAAACCTTATTTAGCTTTTCGTTTTATTAATCTTCAAATAGAGCGAGATTGATTGGAGAGCAACTCGTTTTTATTACATTCTTTTGTAATTTTTCGCTATCCTTTGCCTATTTTTGTAATCGGTGTTTAAAACAATCCGAATAAGAAAATGGAAGTAAAATAAAACAGTTGACTCTAAAAAAATACAGCGTAGGGTCCGCTTTAATAAAAAAGTAAAATGTTTGGGAAAACCTACGTGGCTTTTAGTATGTCTCTTTCTACAGAAACTGCAAAGACGACCTTAGCGTTATGTGCTAAACTGCCTGACGCATGCCTATTGTTTCCTTCTGATGACACGCAGACGTGGAAACACACTGTGATCGGTCGTGGTGAGCAAATTAAGCACACTCGTTCAATAACCCGATTATTAAACGTAGCGAGTAAAATTAAATTAAAGAGGCAGAGACCAGGGTGAATTGTTTCTGCCACAACGCGGTTGTAATGGCCGAATGAGCCTAGTGGTTGACGCTAAGAAAAGAAAAGAAGAAGAAGCGCTTAATACGCGTGCTTGACGAACAAATACTCCGCCCCGTCAGGTAGTTCATTTAGATTATAAATAATTCGGGAAAACTTTAATATTCCGTAATCGCCCAACAACGGGATTTTGTCGGGAAGATTTCGCATCGTTGCCGATTCGTCGCGGCGGCGAAACGTGACGACGTCGCATGGACACCAATTCGTAGCGATAACAATAATTAAAACGTACTTGACGAAATAGAGTGCGACGTGCAATAAAACGCAGCTCTTCGGCGTAAGAAAAATTCGAGGACCTTGACTATTGACAAACAAACAGCTTAACGTTCAATATAAGCGATAAGATACCGCGGGCTGTCGAATCGATTTAGACAAAGAGAGAGAAAAAGCGGTGCCGTTCCTAAGGCCAATATTTGTTATCGGAAAGGATTAAAATTACTTGGAGAAAAAAAGCCGAGGCGACGACGTTCGCGAAGCAGGAAAACCTGAGTATTTGTTAACATTTTGAAAACGGTACGCGTTATCTTATCTCTAGTTCAATATTACAAGAAGTGGCGATGGTACAGATTACGAAAACTTTATTTTCGTGTGTGTTTGTGTGGATTTCTTACGTCCGCTTGTTTGCCGGCAATAAAGACCGCGTGAGGTGGCGTAAGATCGGCAAATATTTGCGACGCCTCGAAGGAAATCGGTGTTAAACGCCGCGTAATACAAGAAAGTCTAAAGGTTTGGGGCTCGGTCCTTGCCAATTCGTCGACGGGCTTGTTTTGCGACCCTTTTAATATCGCGTAGCAGGCAAAAACCGGGTTTCAAGTGCGATTTTACACTGGAACACGCTACTTTTTACAAAACTTCTGAATTCGTCCTGCGTCGGTTTTTGTTGAGTCCAACTTGCTATCATCCTGTTGGCTTCTTCACAGCTTGATTGCAACTATCTCGCATTTTGCTCTGTACCTGCTTATATATTGTTGGAGGGGGCTAAATGGCCGACATAAACACCGTCTCGGTTAAGATTGTTCGGTTGCTTATAAATTTCTATAGACTCTCGGATTTTTAGTTGGTACAAGAATTGATTACATGTAAGAATTTTGGTTATATTGAATAAAAATTTTTATCCGATTTCTTGATTGTGTTCGGCAATTGCTGATGAGTTTATTTGTCTTAGTCTTAAGGCATGTTCTTTAAGCCTAGCTGATATTTTTCGTCCCGTCTCTCCAACGTGTTTTTCGCCGCATATGCTTGGAATACTGTAAACTCCTGGCATCTCAAGTGGAATTTTGTCTTTGACGGATCAAATTGGAAATCTGCTTGTGATATTATAATACTTTAGAACTGTTGATATGTGGTCAGTGAAGTTTTGAATGTTAGGAAGCACAACAGTAATGTAATTTTTGACGTTTTTGGTAGATAAAAATAAGGCGTTTTCCACTCAATCACTTTTGGACCCAAAATGAAAAATGATTATGCCTTGTCCATGTGAAGTCTGTCAGTACGTTTTATGCAGTTCTTCTAGCGTTAAAACACTATTCATTTTATAAGCGTCGTAGATTCGTTTCAGTTTCGTTTCGTTTACGGTTCGTTACGGTTCATCTCAGGCAAGACCCACTTAATGTAGAATTAATATCTGTTGGGATAGGTTTTACCACGGTCCTGCGAAGGTCTGCGGTTAAGGTACTGTAAAATACTTAAAACGTCAAAGCAATAAATGCTCCATATTTTTGGTCGTACTATAATAACAGATCCGGATGGGGGCATCATATAAGTCTGGGTTATCGCACCCTACTTAACACTATAGAAGAGCTGAAGGATCGTATAAACACTGGAGGTGGAGGACACTTTCGAAAACTTATCTAGTTTCTATCTTCTACTTTTTTCCAAAAAGTTTGTTATTAATTTATTAACAGACAAATTTGTTAACAATTATTAGTAGTAAGTTTTTTTCCGAAAGACACTAGTTGGTAACCAAAAACCAAATATTTTGTATCAGATAGATATTTTATGTTTCACGAAAAAAGTTCTTGATGTAACCCAATTAACCAAAAAATCAAAAACCAAAAAAAATAACGACACTTTTTACAAAACTCCTGGATTCCTCCTGCGTCGGTTTTTGCTGAAAGCGAAAACCGCACATCGAATTGAAAAAAAATTCTTTGGAAATGTTTGGAGATTGTAAGAATAATTTTTAATTTAAGAGAAATCAGTGGCGTACCATCATCAAAATTTCTAAAGTGGTGTTACAGATATTAAAAAAATCCATTTTATTTTTAAAAACTTTACCATCCGGTGTCTCAGAAGTTAAGATGTTTAGGACACCCTGTATATCCGTATGTGGGACTGTGGTTGGTTGCGCGATTGCGTTTATGCTCACATTTAGCTAGAGTTTGTCGACTGACCGTCAGTGGTTTACTCCGGGTTTAAATTCTCATTGATTAACAAACGCGAAGGTCTGTTGACGTTGACGATGCGCCTCCAGACGTCGTTGTTCCTCCGAAGCGGACATCGATTGTCCGCCCCTCCGCGTCCCGGGCGACGGCGGAAGAGCAAGAAGGGTGCTGCGGCGAGCCGAAGAGAGCCAGCGGCGTCGACGTAACATTGACGTCGCCTCTCGATCGATCCGCTTGTATATCTCTTCTCGTACCTCGCGTTTGGTGTCTGCACGGGCGGCGACTTGACTTTTTCTGCACGTTTTCGGACGTTTTTTAGTGGACGCGGGTGCTTTTTTGGACATCCTCCTGCCTCGCGTCTCATTTCTTTTGATCTGAGCGCGCCTTGTTACCAAGTAAGTGGCACGGGGCTAGAAAACGCGATTTTCGTCGGAAAAGGGGAAAAGCGTTCTAACCGCAAACGAGGTAACCTTCTTTTTCTTCTTCTTTTACAATTGTCTTCCCGATGGGCCGAGTAACTTATTGCGCCTGCCTGAGCGTTAACATCGCTTCTGGTCAGTTTCGTAATTAGAAAAAGGAAAATAAGTGCAGGATCAATTTTGCCGACCCGAAACTGCACACCTCGTGAACGACGTCTTCTTCTTTTCCTGTTTTCAAAGGCACTCGTCCATCACTTTCCTTGAAAGGAAAATTTTATCCGTGGTCGTCAAACGGCATCCGGCTGCAGGGCGTTGCCGAGTTGCTATATTTATTCACTTAACCGAGACGTCATACAAAAAGTCTCCGTTCTTGGACCAGACAGGCAAGAAAACGAAGTTGCCGTCGCGTATTTGTTTTCAATCATTTATGCGGGAGAAACGTTTTTGTGGTGTTTTTTTTATTCAGCTGTTTGTCAGACGACACGGAGGACGTTGTTTGTGCCCTTCTTTTTTCTTTTAAAATAAAAAGTACATAAATCGGGCAGGAGAAAATGATGGCAATTTTTTTGAGGTTCCTAAATGGCCACCAGAGGGCGTAATTACCATGTTGAATTTTGAAACCCGTTTTCAGCAAAATTTTCTTATATTAATGGTCATGGCTTAATGCGTTTTGATGAACTTGAAGTCGTTAAAATGGGCGAATCCTTAGGCTATCGAACGAGACGATTGCGACTGAGAGACCTGCCACCAGATTTTCTGACACTAAAAGAAAATAACTTAAAAGGAACGATAACATTTTCTTTACACCGTTAGATTAGTCAAACAAAAGCCCAACAACTCAGTGAAATTCGCATAACAATATATTTATTTTAACCTAGCGCAAGTCTTATAATACGAGGTGTGTTCAAAAACTAAGGTGTCTTTTGTAATTGGGCGGGATACATACATTCGATTTTCGATATATTTTTTTGTTATGTTGGTACGCATGTCCCTAACACATGTTCACAGTTTCAGTCAGTTTGCACGTTTATTTTTTTTTTTGTAAGACAGTATGGTAATTTTGTGTAAAAACAGTTCTGCGAAACACTTGAAATGTTGACAACGGCATACGGTCAATGTACCTTGAGCAAAAAGATGTTTATAAGTGATTCTAAGATGGCTGAGAAGACTCCGATGACTCTGCACGTGAATAACTGCTGAAAGCTTTGAAGAAGTGAAACAAATGGTGTTGAAAAATGGTGATGACGTCGACACTGAAGTGTTTCGAGGGTTGAAACAAACGTAGGCACAAATATATATTATATCCGGGGTGGAGGGGGAAATCTCTTTGAAGGGGACAATTATGGCAAATAAAAAAACACTTTTTGATAAAAATTAAAAGTCGTCTTACTTTTTGAATACACCTCAAATATAAATTAACAACATTCCTTCCTCTTGATAGGTTGGTTACAGCATTCCAGATACGATCGACTATATTTTCAGGGGTAGTGGGACGAGTTTGATAAATAGTACCTTTCATTCGACCCCAATGGTAAAAGTCCGGGATGTTAGGATTTTTGGGTAAATAATTGGAAAAACTATTGAATACTTATTTATTTCAAATATTTAAACATCAACTCCGCAGTTGCTTTCCTCTGACCTCTTCCTAAGCCAAATACGCTAATTACATTTTTGGAGATTGCTCGCAAAAACTTCACCGAACCGGAAATCTAGGAGCTCGATGAAACGACATTTTAATGGACATCTGTTCTAAAACGGTTTTTGAAATTAAAAAACCCATTATTCTCACGAAAATTTGGACCAAGCGCGTAAAACGAAACATAAACAACCCTCCCTCGTACAAGCGCCGTTGCCACGTTGTCACGCTATGAAAGTGCATTTCTTGCTGACCGTATCGCCGTTAGGGTAGGGAGCACTTGTAATTTTATGAACCATGCTCAATGAAATAGAATTTATTTACTTTTCTTAAACTTAAAAATGTTATTGAACGTGTGTTATTAATCGTTCGAAAACCGCCGCACCGGTGCCGGCAACATTGGCCCGTGTCGTAGAAACGTAAACAATGCCATCTGGCGTGATCATAACGCCCCGAAACCAACCGCCCCGAATCGAGTCGGCCGCGCTTCGCGACCGAGCTTCCCTCTGGGCGGCCGCGTCGCGTACTTCACACGTCACCAGATCAAAACCCACGCGGAGGGTTGCCTCGCAGCCGCCACCGCCGTCGACGACGAGGAGATCCGCGTCGAAGATGGGCCAAGCCGGGCCGACGATGGCTGAGTCAGCAGCGCCCCGAGTATTCTGCGTGTAATAATTCTGCAGCCGCGGCTCGCTGGCAGTGTTCCTTGGGATCGTGGACGGGTAACAACGCGATGTCTCTCTTGCGGCGTTCCGTCTGTCTCCGTGCCAGTTGAGTGTCTGTGCGTCTGACGTCCTTGTTCTGTCCTACAGATAACGTGAGGTAGGTGCTGATGCCGTTTCGGCCCGCGGGTCGCATTTTTTGTGTGCGTGTGCCCCCTACGTCGTCGTCGTCGTCGACGCGGTGTCTTCGCGAGCCTCGCCTGCGTGTGTGTGTGTATGTGTGTTTACGTAAGCGACGGAACGAAAATAGGCCGTCGCGTGAATCGAGCGGGCCGCGCTTCCTAAAGGGACACAACCACGCGCGGTCTTTACCGCGATTCGGCCGTGGAGGCGAGTTTTTTTTCGGGAAGGCGACGCGCGTGCGCACCAAACCGTCGACGAAGAAGATGCGGCCCGCTCGAAATGAAATCGTAATAGTGCAGCGGCAATGCTCGCGTGACGTAACGCTCGTACACCGCGAGCCAAGCAGAGCGGTTAGTTTATGCGGCCGTATACGGGGTGTGTCGCGTAAAACTTTGGATAATTAATTACATAAAAATCGACTACTTTAAAACCCCAAAATTCCACGGGTCGTCTGGCTGTCCGTATTAAAATAAAAATAATTAAACTTTTAAAAAGGGGCATGAGAATATTGTTTCGTTTCTTTTTCGGTATTCTGCCTTTTTCATCAGATTTAGAAAACTTAGACGTTTGCCTATACCGGGTGTTTCACGTTCGACTGTTACCGTTAGCGTCTCGGTAAGAGAGACAGGGTGACTGAAATTAAGTTATTTTTGTTACTTCCGGCAGTATGGCGGAAAATCTTAAAACTTCCGGGTTTGTCTTTATTTGAAATCTTAAGCTTCTCAAACCATCATCGACTTTATTTTTTTTACGGACGCCATATTGGATTTTTACAGTGCCCGTACTTGGGTCAGAAATAGAGCGCTTTTACAACCGAACCCGTGGTTAACTTTACCCACTGTTTATTATTCCCTTATAGAATACAATGCCGACCTTTACCCGTAATCGTTCCAGGATCGTCCTAGGAATTTATTTACCTACACTAACAAGCGGGATATACGAGGTTAGCTCCAAAATTTCCCGGCGTGACATAGATGCAGCTCCAGTATCACGATAAATCTTTGTCTTCTTTTAAATATGTATCTTAGTAGGCTGCGAAAAAAAAATTGAAGTCTTGCGCCAAATAATTTTTTATTGACAGCATTTTAAACAAGACGTGTCCGAAAATATGTCGCAAATAATGCAAATTGAGTATAGAGCAGTCATAAAATTTTTGACAAAAGAAGGGTTAGCACCTAAAATTATTCAAGAAAGGCTGGATGGTGTGTACGGCCAAAGTTCTCCTTCGTGTTCTGTAGTGAAAGAATGGTCAAAACGTTTTCGGATGGGGCAGGAATCCCTTGAAGATGATTCAAGAACTGGTCGACCAGTGGAAGTCATAACGGAAGATATTGTTGCGATTGTGGACGAGGTGGTATTGAGTGCCCGTCAACAAAAAAGGTGATGGCCACGATCTTTTGGAATTGTGAAGGAATTCTTTTGATAGATTTTAAAAAAACTAATACCACTGTCAATGGTAAATATTACGCAACATTATTACATAAATTGCGAGACTGCATACTTGTAAAACGTCGAGGAAAACTGACCAGAGGCGTGCGTCTTTTGCACGATAATGCACCTGTCCATACTGCTGGTGTTGCACAAGCTGCCATTTTAGAGTGTGGGTTCCAACAGATAGATCATCCTCCCTATAGTCCAGATATGGTCCCCAGCGACTATTATTTGTTTGGATATTTGAAGAAGGACTTACGTGGACGTCGGTTTAACGACGAAATTGAGTTAAAAGAGGCTGTTTTAGCAGACAAACCAAAAGAATATTTTTTTAAAGGGATCGAGTTATTAATAAAGAGATGTAATAAGTGCATTGAAGTTAAGGGGGATTATATTGAAAAATAATAAAAAAAATTTACCCTATTTTGTTTATTTCATATTCAGGTCGGGAAAGTTTGGCGCTGCCCTCGTAAGTATGTTTTCAATCTATTTCACCGAGCAATTCTTGAAACATGTACATAAAAAAATTAGTGCCTGCGCCTACTTCCCCTTCTGAATTTCTTATAAAATTTTGTAAACATTCAAAACAATTTGTTTAGCATCCGAAGACAAATGGATCCGTTTTCTTATTTGCTGACGTAGTTCGTCTTCTAAATTGTCATCAGGTTCGACTACCATTTCCACCTCCTCTTCAAATTCTGCGTTGTTTTCGATGTCTTGTTCTAACAGGGGAACATGTGCTTCTTTCCACGGTCTTCACAATTTAAAGTGTTAAAAAACAGGAACCTTCAAAAAATGTTTAATTGTAAGATTCTAATAAATATTTATCTGTAAGTATTCTTATGACGTACCTTTATCCGACGGGAATATTATCTAAAAAAAGACTGTTGCTCTTTACAAAACGAAGAACTTTCTAGAAGACACAACAATACAAGAAGAAGAATGGCACGACAGACACAAAAGACAAAAATTATTATTTTCAAACTTACCTCACAGTCAAATACCTCCGTAATATAACTCTTAATAACGATACGTATCACCTTATGTTAAAATAAACGCTTCTACCTATTCGAAAATCCCCCGCAGCGTCAATGCTTAATGAAATTTAAAACGGTCCATTTACGTTTCAAATAAAAATTTCAAGTTTCTATAAATATTCGTTACGGTGCATCTCAGGCAAGACCTACTTAATGCAGAATCTGTTGGGATGGGTTTTACCACGGTCCTGCCAAGGTCTGCGGTTAAGGTACTGTAATATACTTAAAACGTCAAAGCCATAAATGCACTATATTTTTGGTCGTACTATACATAAATACGTACTTTCTAGAAGAATCACAGTCAAATAACTCCGTAATATATACGAACAGATTGCCATTTAGATCAAACATTTATGAACGATAAATATCACTTGATGTTAAAAGAAACGCTTCTACTTATTAGAAAATACCCCTAAACATCAATGCTTAATCAAATTTAAAACGGTCCATTTACGTTTCAAATAAAAATTTCACGTTTCTACAAATAATCGTTACAGTTGCAGAATAAACATCTGTTGGAATGTTAAGTCACCCTATGTCTCTTACCGTTACCGAGATCCTAATAACAAATTACAAATTATTAAGATTTAAAAATAGGTTAAAATTTGGCCATTTTAAGGAGCGTACAACAACAAAGAGACATTTTTTTAGTTATCATGAAAACCTTCATGTCCATAGAATGCAGTCTTTGGAAGATCGTAGAAGAAATTTTGTAACTTATAACAACTTATAAAGTTGTAAGCGATCTCCTTTCGTTTTGGGAAAAATGTACTTGAACTGTAATCCCTACACTCTTCACAACTTAAACTAGTCCACTGATTAAGTATCTTTTTTTTTGTGGCATTTGTGCTTTCTTTTTATTTTAGAGCTGCGTCTGTCTTGTTTATAAATAAATATTGTCTTAATGTCGGTATTAAAATAAAAATAATTAAATTAGTTATTAAATGGGCGAATAAACAAATCTGTACATTTTTAAAATGGGCGTAAAATTGTTATTTTTAATTGTTTTTAATCGAAATTATGTCTTTTTCTTCAGATTTATAAAATTTATTCACTTCACACGTAATATATATAAACAAAAACTTTTGTGAGTACATAGCGTACATCAAATCACGTATATGAGAAATTTAAAATTATTGGAAATTAAAAATACGTAAGAAAAATAGGCTATTTTAATAGCTGAAGAAATAATTAAATTATTTATTAAATAGGCAAATAAATTAATAAACAAATCCGTAAATTTTTAAAATGGGCATACAAATTTAATTTTTAATTTTTTTTTTCCAAAATTTTATCGTTTTCTTCAGATTTAGAAAATTTATTCACTTCGGACATTAAATGTATAAAAGAAAACTTTCGAGTGGATTGCGTGCATCACATCACTAACATAAGAAATTGCAAATTATTAAAAATGCAAAATATTTTAAAAGCTGTTTATTAAAAATCCGTAAATTTTTAAAATGGGTCTAAAATTTTTTTTTTTTTCATTTTTTTTCTATCGGAATTATGTCTTTTTCTTCAGATTTCGAAAACGTATTCACTTTGGACTTTAAATACATAACAGAAAACTCATAAAAAAATTCAAAATATTAAAAATTAAAAATACATTAAAAAATAGGCTATTTTTAAACCCGTTTTTAAAAAATACCACGAGTTTCCTCCTTGTCGATATCAAAATAAAAATAATTAAATTAGTGATTAAGCTAGTAACCAATTCCGTAAAGATTTTCGGGATAGTAGTCCAAATGTGAGTGTAAAAAGTGTAGTTTTATACTCATATTATACTCGCGCAACCTTTACTTATTCGATTACGGTATTCCCAAAGTCTCGTTCTTCCATTAATCGTCTTATTTAAGGACCTACAACGTTGCTTTCGTTAATGTCTTACCTCAGAGAGACTGGGAAGTTTTCCTCATAGGTATCCCGATCTTCATTTAAATCTTCTATAGGACTATCGAGAAGAATATTTTTTTATCCGTGAGTTAAGTTAACCCTTTTTGGCCAATTGTAGAAGTCGTAGTAGAAGTCTCGCAAATTTTGATGTCACCACAAATCCTCGACTATATTATATATATATAACTTTTCTGTCGACTTTCGCGGCGCCTGGTCGGCCATCTTTTTCCGCGCCCCGCACCCCGCGGTCGTGCGGTGCCAGTTCTTTGCCTACTTTTACCCCTGCGTATCGATTCCCAAGCAATTGCTCAGGAAATCAATGTCGCTCCGGAGGTTAAATGGACACTGACGATAAACTACGAAGCTTATAGCCGCTCTATATCGATTTGGTTTGGTTACTTTTTACAAAACTTATGGATTAATGCTGCGTCGGTTTTTGTTTTTGTTTAGAACGTACACATCAAAAGTTATAAAGATATGCCACTTCTCTTAACGATGCAGCTGGATTTACGTTGACGTATCCCACAATATCCCACGATATTGATGTTATAATAAAATTATCATGTCGACTATTTCGAGAATTTTTTTCTGCATTCCCCTTATATCAGAAACATAT